GTTTGAGTGTAGTGTGTAGTAGAATGTGTGTATGTGTGTGTGTGTGTGTGTGTATATATATATGTATATATGCATCATTATACATATGTGTGTATAAATCAAAATAAGCATACAAGCACAGAAAGTTCAATTCAGAAGTTCTGTGAAATGAAGATTGTCTTATCTTTCACACTATCATTCTACCCACCCACCTACTCTTAAAAAAACTGCATTATTCAATACTACTCCTAAAAAATGCATCTGCCTTTATACAACAGGATAGGAATTTTAAAAGACAGATATAATGAAAAAAATTCTTATGTTAAAAAATGATTTTCAGCATCCTTTGATTCAATAATTATTTTAAATAAATTGCCCAGTTATTTTATATAAAAATGACATAATTCTACCTGAGCCTTTAGCTGGGACAAAACAACAACAAACTAATTGTAAATTTTGCTGAAATTAACAGACTTTGTGTGTATTTGATTTACTATTTCTAAAGCAGCAGGGGGCTCTCTCATGTATTTTTATCCTTGATTCTTTCTTACTACAGAATCAGAATGTTTACTTTGGGATACTTACTCTTTATAACTACTTTGAACTTGTTTAACCATTAAAAATAATTTTGTATATAGCAAAAAAGAATCTTGCTTTATTGGTAGATTTGTCCTTCCAAGCTTTCTTCTGGTACTTTTACACCAGATCCTTTAAAAAGTATGAGTTAGAATCTTTCTTTATGTAAACCATTTGTCTACAGTGACTGTAAGCTATATATGAATGGTAGCTTTGCTTACTGAAGCTATTTCCACAGGAAATGTTCAGATTATAATTTTAAATCATTTAACATCATTTACATAGGTTACATTATTTAAAAACTAACTATACAGGTATTTCTCATATATTGCACGTTGAGAGCTGTGAGTAGGTCACAGCTGTAAAAGCAGGCTTCAGGCTTATCACAGAAACATTCTAAGTACATCCAAAGAGGATGAACAAGTCCGATTTAAAGGTTATCAAAATGCACATTACTATAGAAATTATTTTTTGCCAAAAATAATAAAAGAAAAAAAAGGAAAGAAAAAGAAAGCTATACTGAAACCAAATCTAGAAGGAAGAGTCCTGCTGAAGCCACTGAAGCCTCAAGCACATGAAACATGATCAAAATCAGTCCAGAAATCTGAAGTCATGGTTTCTGTTCAGGAAGATGTGCCGAGTCTTGTGAGCTAGGAGACTGAGAACAGGGAGGGCTTTCTTGGTAGTCATTGGGCCTTGCAGGTGGCAAGTCTCTAACAGGAGGAGAATAATCCCTTAAACCTTGTGGAGGTAGTCGTGGACCTGGAAGATAATCTCTGGGGGGAGGTGGCCGGAAAGGAGGTGGCCCACGGATATATCCTCTCTGTTCAGGAGGTGGCAGTGGAACAGGAGGAAAATCTCGCATTCCAAATGGAGGACCGGGTGGATAATCTCTAGGCATAGGTGGAGGTGGAAGAGCTCCACGAACTGAAAGGACAAAAAAAAAAATGAAACTGGGTAGTTCAAAATCAAGTTATCATTTGCCATCACTGTCACTTTAGGAAAGCATGCTTCTAATATTTATGCCTGAATATAACTATTCAAAATAGGCTGTAAAAGTTTTTAAGGAACCTGTGCTCTTTATAGCCTTTTGATACTTCCAAGCTTTTTCCTTTTTTATTTGTTTTTATTTTTAAAAAATAAATTATGCTTAGTACAAGACCGAACATGCCAACAAAGAAACCTATAACACTCAAATAGGTGTTACTGTTACATCCAACCCTTGCATTTTCTGTATATAACACAACTTCATATTTTACACAAAATAATATTCTTTTGAATACTAAGAACGGAATTTATTTTAAAGTGCATTTTTAGCAAACTGTGATATGTACTAAAAGGAATTTGAAAGGTATTTAGCAATAAAGCTAAATAATAAAAAAAAGCACAATGTGCAATAGAGTCCATACCTAAAGAGGGCGGAAGAGGCCGAGGTCCATAGGGCAGGCGGGGTGGTGGTCCGAACCGAATAGGAGGTGGCAAAGGCCCAACTGCTGGGGATGTCATCATGGGCCCCCCCGGGAAAGATGGTTTACAACCAATGTTAACCTGTAGAAGACTGCAGTGTTAGTTATCTATAGGGCATTATTCACGAAACATAGAGAACATAGTGTTGTGGTTAGCCGGTAGCAGGTGCAGATGGCTGAGGAGACCGAGGACTCCGATGAGGGGCCAGGACCATCAGGGAGTGGACTGCTGCCTTCAGAGATTGTGCGGGCTGGCAGCAGTAATGAGGAGGTTCCCGAGGAGCCTGTGCCAAGTGCAGCATGAAGGATTACACAGAGGAAAGAACAGTTACAGCAGCACAGGCGACTCGGGAGTAAGGATACAAGGTAATGGACCCTTCCTCAAGAGGATAAAAGCCAGGTTTGGAAAAGCGTTCTTTGCAGACAGCAAAGAAGCTCTGAAGCTCAACTTGTGGACATCTTAGTTCGTGTTTGGAGAATATTGTAAATTAGTTCTTATCTCTGAGTTTTTGGCATCATCGACAAACAACTTGACTAGGCTCTTTCTTAGTTAATTAGTCGGAGCTAATTAGTGGAAAGCAGCCTTCAGAACAGAATTCGTTATTAAATCTTAAAAGGTAGGGGCTGCTGCCTTTGTCTGTGTTTGCTCTTTGTGTTTTGCTCTTCCGGTTAGGTCAGAACAACTATAGATTAAAAGTACTTTAAGAAACATTGTTGCTGAAAAGATCTCAAATTTCCAAATTTAGAGCTCGCTGAGTTTTATGGAAATTTTCTTTTTCAAGAATATTCTTGTCTTCAGACATCAAAGAAGTATTATCTTATAAAAGCATTCTCAAAATGGCAATCCAAATCTGAACTAGACACTCTTCTAAGTGCATTCCTTTTTAATACCAGCCAATCCAAATCCCACACCATCTACAGAAGAAAATGATCAGAGGTACTCAAGGGTTAGAAAAGCCTTAAATGTCAAACGCCATCATTTATGAAGCAACTGGATTATATTTTCCATATTGCCCAACAACGCATTTAGCTTTAACAAGTTGCAAAGCCAAGAGAAAAACTGCAACCCAGAGTGAGTTTTGCAGCACCACATCTCTCATGCTGAGTCATGAAGCACACCATGCTTTTTAGATCCTCCCCATCAGATGCAGGAGAAAGGCACCATTCCCAGCCTCTTGGTACTCACTGCAGTTGCTTCACCAGAGGAAGGTGGGGGAGCAGAAACGTGGGTCACCTCAAACTCTTTGGTAAGATTTTGCTTTGGTAAAATATTGCACCCCAGCAATACAAAGATGGGGTGAGAGACAAATAGAAATTGATACATAAGTAAGGCATGATATGGCATATACAAAGTAACAAAACAAAGATTCCGTACGGTATATCATTTCACACAAAGAAATAGCAACCTCCCTACTTACTATTCCATCAAGAACTGCAGTTGAAGGAGAAGATGTTCTTGGCCCACAGTTGATCAGTGTTGTTACAGAAGGACCAAGATCTGGAAGGAGAAAAAAAAAAGACATATTTAATATTGCTTGAAAAAGATGCTACACTTTTAAAATATAGATGGAATCTCTTGCCATTCTTACCTGGAGCAGACATTCTTCCTGATAGATCAGGATGCCTTTTTTGGACTGGAGGGCCATCAGTCATAGTATCTGAAGGATTACAATGCAGTTTGGTAGAGAGATTATCATTTTGCCAATTAATGGCTGTGCAACACAGTGCCCTCCAGATATTTTAGACAACTATCTCCCAATTCTGACAATTGTTCACGCTAACTGAGCTGATAGAAATGACAAAGGGTGTCCTAAAACAATCTGGAAACACCATGAGGCCACTCTATGTTTCTTTATATATCTTCTTTATAAAAAGAGCTACATCTATTTTTAAAGTAGTGTAATTTAGGAAGTAAGTACAGTATTAGTCTAGGATTGATAGGCTTGAATTCAATATGAGTTCTGAAAATACAGTGATTTTATGCCAATCTTCTTTCTTTCCAAAGCATCTTATAAGATTGCTGTATGGAAAAAGGCAGAGCATTATGCACATTACATTGAGTTCAAAGAGAAAATGTAGAATATGTATTTAAGTAAATATACAACAGTGTGTAATATCAAACTAAAACATGGAACAGGGATTATAAAAGGAATTCATCACTAATATATACATGCTTGATAAAGTTTAGCAACAAAAAGCAAAATATTTGAACTAAAAATCAGTAAGTTAATCAACATAGTATGATAGAAAAATAGTCTAAACTTTGGGCAGAAACTTCCACATAGGATTTAGCTAAATATTCCTGTAAAGGTCTTATATGATTTAGCATTGGAAGACTCCTATGCAAAGTCCTTTCTCACACAAGTTCAAATAGAAAATTATCATGCTTGTTTTTTTAAAGCTATAATCATGCTGAGTACAATTAGTCAACTTATGACCACAATTGAGTCCAAAATTTCTGTTGCTAAGTGAGATGTTTGTTGAGTGACATTTTATGACTTTTCTTGCCACAGTTGTTAAGTGAATCAATGCACTTTGTTAAATTAGCAACATGGTTAACTGAATCTGGCCTCTCCATGGACTTTGCTTGTTAGGAGGTTGCAAAAGATGATCACATAACACTGGGATACTGCAACCGTCATAAATATGGGTCAGTTGCCAACCGTCTGAATTTTGATCATATGGCCATGGGGATGTTGTAACAGTTGTGTAAAAATTGGTCATAAGTCGCTTTTTTCAGTGATGTTGTAACTTTGAATGGTCACTAAATAAACGGTTGTAAGTTGAGGACTACCTATACCTCCTCCCCACTTCTTATTTTGACTTAGCTTGAGGTAAAAGCACAAGAACAACTTGATTTAGTTACTGAATTTAACAATTCAAGAAAAGCATCTGCTACACTGGGTGGATCCATATATTGTGCTAAGCCAAAGGTGAGCAGCTTTTCAATTACTGGGAGAGATTATTAGTATTTTTCAGATAACTGAGATGATGGTGCAAAATGGATATTGCCAATATGCAATATTTGGTAACTGAAGTGCAGAAGGTTTTCTAGTCCTAACCATATATGATCTCATCCAAGATACAAATATGATGTCAACATAATGGAGTGCAACAGTAAGAGAAATGACGAAATATTAACCAGGTCTATCACACCTGAACAAATATCATTGGTGGAACAAGAACTGTTTCTACCAAAATTTCTAAAATTCACTTCAAATGAGTGGGGATATCCTCATAAAGAGAGAGAGAGAGAGACAAAAGCAAAGCAAATCCTACAGTGCAAGTGACAGTCCATTTTCATATTGTAGTCCCCATTTAGTGACTATTCATGGTTATGATGAAAAGTAGCTTTGTGACTGATGTGCATATTAATGATCCTTGCAGTATTTCTCTCTGTCATGTGTTCACCATTACAAGCAATTAGTATGTGTTGTCCTGTGCTTGATCTTTGTCCCGCACCCACCCAAAGCAGAGAGATTACCTAAACAACCTTTCTTCCTAAGTGGTTTTTTCTTTGCAGCATGCCACTTCCCTAAAAAGCGCTAATAGTGGGTTAACAAGCTCAACCAGGAGCTTAATTTGCAGATCCTGCCTGAAATTTACAATACCCTACTCAGTCTCTCACTAAAGGCTTTCTTTCTTTTGCCTCCTAAGTAGCTGCTTTCTTTTGCCTCTTAGGGGGCTGCCTGTGTGCCAAGCAAACAGCTGGCACTAGTGCATTCTTTTCAATGTGTATTCCCCTTTGTGTGCTGCTTATTCCGTTATAATCCCTTCCTTTCCAATAAATATAATCAATTTTCTTCTGGGTGAGCATTCCAAAGGGCAAGGGAGCGGGGGAAGAGGGCTATAAGATTTTCTCATGAGTTGAGTTTCCGAAACCTTCCCTGACAATTGAGCTCACCCAGCTGTTTAGGGTCATATCCTTCTTATGCTGCAAAGCAAAGGAAAGCCAAAATAAAATTGTAAACACAGTTGCAGGCATGTAATTTTTCGCTTAGTAACCATCTCACTTAATGACTAAGTTACCTGTCCCAACTGCAGTTTTAAAATGAGGACTACCTGTTCTATTGTTAACGCCAGAGTCCTTTTTAAATTTATTTATTAAATTTAAATCCTGCCCATCTCAACGATAAGGCAACTCTGGGCTGCTTACAAATGGTAAAAAGGTAAATGTACTAATAGTTAAAATTAAATTATGTATATCTGTTTAGAAGATAGGCAAATATTAGTTTCTTGCTGCAGAATAATAATTTTTTTAAAAAAAATAGACTGCTTACTAAGTTCACCTCTTGATCCATCTCTTGGATTGGCAGAAGGAGGTCGTACAGGGGGTTCCATCATCAGTGGTGGGGAAGGAGCACCACCACTCACAGGTGAGGGCCCAAAAGACCCATCTCGACTTAATGGACCTGTTATGAAGCAGAAATAATACAAAGGAAATGTGGCAAAGTATCTATTTACTCTTCTAAAATGCTAAGTTTAAACCCAAGGGAAACAACTATACCTCTGCGAGGTAAAGTCTGATGGTCTGGCAGGCCTGCAGTCGGTTTAACAATTATTGGTCTCTGAAGGGAAGCTATTTTCTGATTCACCTCTATGATTCTAATAAGAAAAAAGAACATTTTTAGTGGAATTCCAGCCACTTTTAAAAAAGGTAATTCTTCCTTAGTGTTGTCTCTTAGATACAACGATCACATGCATAAAACATGCTTACTTTTGTCTCAAGCTGGCAGATTCCCTTTTTTCTTCAACTAATACTCTCTCTGCAGAACGTGCTGCGAGCTGTAAAATATATAGAAGTACATAAATCTGAAACTGTTAGTCAAATATCACTTGAAATCAAAGGATAGTCTACTAGAACAGTTGTTCAGGAATTAACACGAGCTTAGAATAAATAAGCGTAATGTGACAAAATGTTCAAAGCTGAAATGTTGTTCTTAAAAGAAAATCTACAGCCTTACCCAATTTTCATGGGCTTTCTTCTCATGAGCAGCAATCTTAAAATATTAAAGAAAAAATGTTTTAATTTGCAGAACACCTTATAATGTAAAGTTTTCTTTTTCAGAAGAAATAGCTTGAAATAGCTCCACACCTGATTTTTATAAGACCGCTCTGTTTTTTGCAATTCTTCCTCCATTTCCTGAATTCTCTGCCTGTCAAAGAAGATGAAAAATTATTTCTAATCACAATGCTTTCCCTCAAAATCAAAAGTCAACATATTTACGTATCAGAATTACTTGTAAATTTTCACTTCTTCAATAGCCAGGACTGCTTTTTCATCTGCAGCAGAAAGTGTCTGTTCCTTCTCTTGACGTTCATACTCCTCTTGTGTCAATTTCCTAGGACAAAATAAAACTGGCATGATGAAATACAACCAAGTTATGTCCCACGTGGCAACATTCAACTGCCAATACCAAAAAGCAAGTAACAAGAGGCGGTAGGAAGACAGTCAAAGTAATATTGAAGAAAACGATACAAGAGCACTGCCTCTTGTAAAGGAAGAAGGAAGAGAGTTTCCTTTTCCATTTGGCATTATCAAATATGCTTGCACTTTACTTTCCAGCAAAAGGACATAAGCATGAGAAATCAGCAGAGACAAGCTCATTTAAAATGCCAATACATCCCTTAAAAAAAGACCTCATCTTACTTTAGAAATCTGAAACTTCTGTAACAGATTCAGAGCTATGATTGTCACTGAAGAAAAGGTAAAAACACAGTGTTTAAAGAAACCCACTAGCCTAAAAAAATCCAACCCTGTTTAAATGAAATAAAGGCCACCGTATGGACAAGTTTTGGATTTCATAGAATACTACTCCCCTAATGAAACATCTTGAAGGCACACCTAGCAATTCTTTCTTACTACTTTATTAAGTTTCCTTTCTCTTGACACTGCTGTCATTTTGTAATATGAATATGTAAGCATTCTGCTGAATGTATTAATTTTAGAAACAGTTTATCTTGCAGGATACCAAACATAAATAGTTTTTCAATGGATAAGTAAATATTTAAATATGATGACCAGATTGGAGAGTGTGCTTGCTTAACAATTGTCCTGTGCAGTTTCCTCCATTTTTCCAGGATTGCTAGCAGGTATGCCTTAACATCATCACTCATGCCACTAGTTGAAAATTGCTGTAGTAGAGGCTAGGAGTTGATGGGGGGGGGTCACAATTTAATTATATTATAATCCCTATGGTGATTTAAAATTACTTACTTTTGAAGTGCCATCTCTTTCTGCTGATAAAGTTCATTAAGAATCTCTACTTTCTGTTGGAGCATTTTACACTCACTTTCTAGCTGAGATTTTACTGTCTGTGTGGAACATGAGTCATGCTCCAGCTTTTTGATTTGCTCTGCAATAAAATAAATTACAAAGTATTATTTCATTCTTTATAGCAATGTTTCAAACACTTATTATGTGGGCTGATAAGGCCATATCAAACAAGTCAGAGAATGAAGCCATTGAGGAGCAGATTTAAAAAGGCAGCAGTCCTCAGAATTGAAGTATGGATGAGGGAAATGAGGAAAAGGGCAGAGAGGCAATATGATGCTTATATTAGGTAGAATATATATATACATATATTGCATCCTAAAAGTACAGAAAAATATAAAAGTGGCTTATGCACAGCCCTTCTTTTTACAAAGCCCATGTCCTTGTTTGCAGAGCCAGTTTGGCATAGTGATTAAGGTATAAGGCTAGAAACACACCGAAGTCCAATTCTGCCTTAGGCACAAAGCCAGAGGAGTGACCTTGGGCCAATTCTTTCTCTCAAGTCTTAGGAAGGAGGCAATGGCAAGCCACTTCTGAAAGAAAACACTTCTGGCAAGAAAACTGCAGAAACTAGTCTAGGCAGTTGCCAGGAGTCAAAAACTAAACCAAAGGCACAAAATACATTCTAGGTCCAGGATAGCTGGCAGGGCATATTTGAAAACCTGTGAATTTGAAAGAGGACAGATAATCTGTTGCCTTCCCTATGTTTTGGATTCCCTCTGTGGAATCAAAATGCAGGAGCCAAAATAATAATTAAGGCTCACTCAGAACTGTTCTCCAGTAAGAATGGCATTTTTCTGGGTTACTGGATATGAAATCAAGACTAAGCAATATCTAACCTAACAGCTATAACTTATGAACTGTTAAGCAGTAAAAATCTAAAAGCAAGATAGATATTGCTTGTCTCCAAAATTAAGCAGGCATAATACTTTTTTAAAACAAAAATTTCAAACTCTTATTTGCTGAACACACCTTCCAATTCATGTCTTGCTGCAATTTCATCATTTAGTTTGGAACGTAAATTATCTCTTTCTTCTTCAATGATAGATAATGTTGTTTTAACCTGCAAAAGATTAATGAATATCAAGTGATGAATTATGCTATAATAAACAAATCATACTAATTAGGTAGATCAATGTGTTATATACCCTTGAAACATCCATCATCTGTTTAATCTGAGCCTTCATCTTTGCATTCCTGGAATCTAAGGAAAGAAAGACATTATTTTATTGTGTTTAACACGCAAATAATATTTTCAAAAGGGAACTCACAGATAATTTCTTATAAAGGTTCACTTTGAGCCAACAATATATTTTTATTTATTTATGCTTATTAAATTAAAATATCATCATACAAATTAAACATTGCTACTAAGGCAAGAAAAGAGTATGGCAATAGAAATTCAGCTAGTTATCCTAAGAAGCGCACATATCTAACAATGCATTATTTTTATTAGTGGTTTTATTATCATTTTGGTTTTATCTTAATAGCCCCCCAGGTTCTTCTGACCAGAGTAGTACAGTCTAATAAGAAAAATTAAATATATGATATAATAATTAGGTATAAAATATAATCTGTTATTGCTATGGCTTATACAAGATGTTCTCTATTTGGGTCCTCATTCTTTTGGGGATGATAGGCAAATCTAGAATTCTGAGAACAAACCACGTTACTATCTAAGAACCACCATATTTACAGTCATATTTGTTAAAGAGAAAAATAGTTGTTTAACAATTTGTAAACAACATTATTTTGAACTAAGGTTGTTGTTTTGCTCTAACAGACATATCATATAAAGCGGAATGATGACTATGAGAGCCAATTAGTGTAAGGATCCCAAGTCAAAGCAGAAATTATATTGTTTTCAGAGACAGAACAAGCTTTTCCCTTTAACTAAAAATTACTAAACTAAAAATCACTATAATCAAGATTTGTTCATAACTGGAAGGCTCCAGTACTATTTTAAAAATTGCTCAATTAACTACTGTTCAAAATTGGGCTTCATACTAGTACCATGTAAGAAATCTATTTTATGAGTTTTAGGTACCTGAGATCTCTCCATTGGCCAGGTCATTTCCTTCCTGTTTCTTATCTTCTGATTCAGAATCTGCATCAAGTTGCTTCAGCTGCATAATGCAGTTTGTCAAAACCTAGCAGAAAACCCAAAAGAAATAGAATACTTGATGCAGCAATATAACAATGCAATCATAAAAAACTACTGGACAGCTAAACTTAATTTACCTCAGTTTCATTTTCTTTACGGGCAAGTGCTTCTTCAGTGACTTTCTGAGACTTCTGATATAACTTTATCTGTTCACTGAGCTCAGCATGCCTTTCGCTCCATCCCTCTGCTTCTTGCAGCAGCTAAAAAAAAAAGTTAAAATGTTATCAAAATGTATATTTCAAGACAATCCTACAAGGTTCACATGAAGTACTCAGTGAATTATTGCAGGCATCTAAATATTCACATAGCTTGAAGTGAAAATCACAGATTTGAAATGCTTTTCTTTCACTTGTATTTGAGAGGGTACGCACACTCATACCATTTGTGAATATAAACCATACACCACACAATAAACTAACCAGAGGAAAATAATGGATATAATGGCTATTTTGGGTGTTTCGTATGTTTGATGGCAAAAACATTCTTAAAATATAATTTTGAAGAAATATCAAGATGGCATTAGAAAACAATCCTTTAAATGCTATCTTCCATAGTGGCTTACCCCCAACTACAATACCCTTTAGTTACTTAGACATAAATCTCTGTACAACATTCTCCTATAACCATAATTTGCTTCCTCAATACTTCTCAATTACCATCCAATGCCCACCTTTTCTTAATTGCTTTAAGGCATTACTTGTGGTCCTCAATGAAATATGTAACTATCAAGTCTTCAATAAAGCTAACATGCAGGCTAGTATATTCAAAAAGTAATTTATTAGGAATAATTGAGTAAACACAACTCACTTGCTCCTTACTTTTCTTCAGTCTCATATTTTCTTCTTGTATTCGATGCAATTCAGACTTCACTTTTTCTTCACTTAATTTAGCTTCATTAAGAGCTATCTGAACCTGTGTCAATAATTCCACATCTGAGATACAAATCTTTACAAAAAAATCATATTCCCAAGTATCGATTATGCAAAATTTTTATCTGCCCAAACCTTAAGTTTATAGATATTGTTTTTAATAAAAGCTGCTTTAAATTGAAGATCCAGATGTTTACCTCAGAGAGCTCTACAGTATGCAAAGTAATGACTTCCTGGAGTTTCTCTAAAGACTTATGTGCTTCCATAATCTATACAAATAGAAATAAAAAAATTGACATGTACATTGTACATAAAGTCAATTTCAGTTAATGCAATAACAGACTTGTTAAGATTTTTATGCACATATTTTTGGAAAGAGTTAAGTAATTTTTCAGGTTAATACCAGCCAAATTCCTAATTATTTACTAGTTTAAATCGCAAAATCGCAATCCCCAACATGGATCATTTTAGAAAATGTTCCTCAAAGAAAGGCTTAGAAAAGTTCTTACCGGTAGTTATGCCTGACTAGTTTCAGTGTAAAAAGTGATAATATAGTTAATATAGAGCATTGGATACAGGTAGTCCTCAACTTATGACCACAATTGAAACCAAAATTTATGTTGCTAAGTGAGACATTTGTTAAGTGAGTTTTGCCCCATTTTATGATATTTCTTGCCACAATTAAGTGAATCACTGCATAAGTCAGTAACCCAGTTGTTAAATGAATTGGGCATTTGCATTGACTTTGCTTGTGAGAAGGTTGTCACATGCCCTTGGTCACATGCCCTTGGGACACATTAAAGGTTTTAAATATGAATCAGTTGCCAAGCATCTGAATATTGATCACATAATTATGGGGGTGCTACAAAGGTCATAACCGTGAAAAACAGTCATAAATCACATTTTTCAGTGCTGTTATAACTTTGAATGGTCACTAAACAAACTGCTGTACGTTGAAGACTACCTGTATTATTTTCTACTGGCAATAGCTTCAAGCAAGCATGGCACTGTTTTCTTACTCTCTCTCACAGCACCTGCCAAGCAGAAATAATACTGCCTACTTGATAGACTATTATAATGATTTACAAAAATTCCAACAAACACTTTGCATACTAAAATACACTATGCCAACATAACATATACATTATCCTTTAACAAAATGTATATGGTATTCTTATAACAAATCAATAATCAGTTCTGAGAAGAACAAAAGAACAAAAAAGAAACATTTAGAAAATTACGTTACCTTTTACAAAGCGTATCAAAAGAATATACTACAGTACAAAATCAGACTGTAAAATCAGTATAACAATAATGTATATGAATTGAGTAAATATCAGAATATTAGATCTCAGGATATAGATGAAGCAGGAGCAACAAGAGTTGAGACATTGTTCTTCCTTGTGGCAAATAAGTTACTTACTTCTTCCTGTTTCTTCAAACTGTGTTTTTTCTCCTCTTCTAGCATGGCGTTTACATTTTTCATTCTGTTATCCAGAAGTTTATTTGTGTCCTGTAACATATATTCATATCAACTGAACTGAATTGAATTCCAATTCTTCAACACATACACACAAAAATCATCATTCCTACATACCTTAAGCTTTGCGATTTCCTCTGCAAGACCTGAATTTTCTTTCTGGCCTTCCTCCACAGCTTCCTTTACTCTTTCCTTTGTCTAATTAACAAAGAAAAAATGTAATAAATAACAAATGATGGCCTATAATCCCAACTTTTCTTTGTTACTTGATAGTCTTTACTATTTTTATTTTATTCTTTTAACCTTTAAGGCTTTTAGGACAGTTTATTCACCTGCTCAATATTACAAATTATGATAATGCACACAGAAAGACACTTATACTTATTCCATGTATTTGTCTCATGTTACAATTTAAAGATATGAATGCATATATACCTTTTGTTCATATTCTGACAACTTTTCTAATATTTCTGTCTTTTCTTTCAGAAGAGTCTTAATTTTTTCTGCTAGCTGTGCTTCTGTCACTAAGAAAAAAAGGGACAAATGTAAAACAGATTGTTACAGAACTAGAGTATTAGCTATTATACCACTAAAGCTGACCCATTAAGTTCCTGTGTAGTCCTCTCCCACAGCACTAATTTCATCACTGGAAATAACAGGTAATTTCACACTATGGAGTATATAATTTAAATGTACAAATCTGATTAGTATTTTTAGATGAAAAATGCTGGTGGGCTAAGGGGGAAAACTCTACAAAAGAATAATACAATAATGTTTCAAACTGATAAACATTCCAGTTATGGCTTTCTTTCAGAGTCAAAAGGAAGGTACTTCTCATTGTGAGAACAAATTGGCCAAAATTATAGATAAATCTAGTGAAGATGAGATATTTAGGATTTTATTTGGAAAGACTGAGGCAGAGAGAAAAAATGGAATTTTGGAAATAATAAACATTCAGTAGTCAAAAGGCTGAAATCACATTGTTTCTTAGTCTCCTATTCTCAACTCAGCTGTCCAAAAACCTACACAGAAAAAAAAGAATTTTCCCCAAGTGACATTAATACAACGTAGAAACCCAATATAATACAAATAAACAGGACAGTATTATTTGAGAAATAGAGAATTGAGAAAGAGTTAAGATGTTTTGAAATTCTAAACCTTCTCTGTTATTGACCCACAACACTGAAAGTTCAACATGCTTAAATGGCATTAAGTACACATGATAATACAGCATATTCTATTACATATAAGAGCACATACTTATATTAAGCAAGTAACACCCCCCCCCAAAAATAAACCACACTACATTTTTTAAAGGGCAATTTTTTTTACCTTGATACATTCTACTCTTAACCTATAAAGAATAAAAAGAATACAGAATGTTATAAAAATAGCCATTTTATTAATACAATTTCAACAATAAAAATCAAGTGCTGACCAAAAACACTGCTTCCAATGCAAGTATCAAGTGACATAACACATCTAAGCTGATTCCAATTAAAATTTCAGGTTCAGTATCTTACTGGAAAATCAAGCTACAGGTTTGGTTATTCAATTCTTATATAGGAACAATTTAGTCAACAATTTTTTACATACACACATAATTTCAAAGCTTAATTAGAGAACTATCCAAATGATATCATAAACAAGAGAAAGATTAAATGATTGGCCCAAATCTTGCTCTCTCAAGTTAAAGTTTAGTTGTCTATCAAGTCGTTTTGTCACTGTCTACATTGTAATTTCAAGCTGAGCACTTTATCAATAGCAGCATGAATACTGATATCCTCTTTCGCATCAGTATGTCTTATAAAAAGCCATGATTTACTGTTATGGTTTTACAAATCTCAGTGTTATTGTTCTCTTCCTTACAATTGGTTTCCACAGATAATACACTCACACAAATCACAGTTTATCCTGAAAATTCAGACCAATGCCCAAATTATCAAAAATTAATGAATTAAATAATAGGCTTTTCTAATTACTATTTCAAACTTAAATATAAAAGCAACAACAGGAAAGCTGGCAGACAAATGTTATCAACACGTTTTTCAGATGAATAAAAAAGATGACCTGCCAAGTCTTTTTTTACTAACAGAACATTTTGAATATATGTTATCTTCTACATCTAATGATAAAACAGCATCAATTGATATGCAGAGATTTATTATTTATTGCTGAAGTTAATTATCTGATATAATTATTAGTATACCAGGTTTGCTTACTAACTTTACTTATAAACAGGCAGTTCTAAAAATTAACTTACAGATAGACAGGTTCTCCAGAAGAAAATAGCAAGTGTAGCAATTCCAGCAAAGGCAGTGATAATAATGGGCTCCCACGGAAATCCATGGAAATCCGGGCCGGGCTGCATGTTTTCAGGTAGTGTTGAAACCAGCTAAAAAAAGAGACAGGTCTCTACATTTAAAATAATTTAAATATACATATAGAAATAGCAGGATACAACTCTGAAAATTTAATTTAAGAAGGTTCACTCAAATTAATTCATAACTTTCCATTATGTTCTTATGCCCAAAAGCCATAAAACCAAGTCAAGTGTACAGTATTCACAAAGCTCTGATGAATAACGTCACAGGTTTCAACAAGAAATTCAATTTCTCCTACTGTTTGTTTTGAAAAATTCTAGTTTACATTCTTTATTTTTATTCTAATTATAAACAGAAGACCAGAAGCTAATGTAACAACTTAAGGCCAATTACATTTTAGTGTACTATTCTTGAATCCAACACTTCATAGATTTTGAATGTGCCGTTTCATCTTTTTATATAATACATTAACTTTTAAAAATGTGCACATAGTCTAGCAAATAGGTTTTTTTAGCATAGCCCATTTTAGCTTATTTCCCTTATTCATAATCCTGGGGGAAAAAAAGATTTGTTGTAATATTTTCCTTTTGCTCCATATGATGCTACTAAAAGGTACCTCAGGTGATTAATTTACTGTTTTAAGACTAAAACAAAAATTTAAGATACTGTTTCAGCCAAACAAAATTTAAGTAATGTTAGCACTATACCTAACATATAATTATTTTAAAAAACACCAATGGAATTAATTTAAAGCATTTTCTCCTGAATTTCCCATGCTTGCATTTTATGCTTTCAGATGGATATATGTATTCTTTAAAATGTTGCAATCTGACAGCTACTATGCTGTATACTTCAAACATTTTATAATCCATATGGTTACACATTTACAGTTTTGTTACCAGAGGTCAACCTACAATTATATCAAGTTTGCATTGCTCCACAAACATGAGAAATTAAAAATATCAACCCAGAAACAAACTCATACACGAATCATTAGTCTGCCATCATTGTAATTAACAACTTTTATTCCCTATAGTATTTTTTTTTTGGGGGGGGGGGGGGGAGAGGCAGTAAGGATACAAACTCCTCTCCCCGCCAAATCCCACCTCTGCTCAATTTCCTTAGCAGTTCTCCCATTTACACAGGGCCAACTAGAGCCACAAATCCAATCCTAAAGTATGAAGGACATCTGGCTGCGTTGTGGCTAGAAGTGGAAAGCGACTTGATGGCACAATCTATCAAAGTACGAAGCCAGCATTTTGTTCTGGCAGTTTTTTTAAAAAAAATTACTATTTGTTCTGGCAGTTTTTTTAAAAAATTACTATTTATCTCGAAGACAAGAACACTCTCTTTTCCTTGCAGCCCGATTCGACTTTCGCTTATTTCTTTGCCAAAAGAGCGGCTTTTTCAGTCCACGACCGTGACAACAGCTGTCTTCACCAGGCCCGCCGCCTTGTCAATACGTGCCCCGCTCCCCTTCCCCGCCCGCAGCCGACGATATTTGGCAGGCAGGGATTCCGCCTCCTTTCCAGAGCAAAGACCCCTCTGATCCCTTTCGAGCCCTCCCACTTCCTTTCCTCACCCACAAAAGACGGTCCCTGAAGGAAGCATAGCCCCGGGAGAGCGGCCCCTGCAGCAGAGCGGCGCTGCTGTTGCTGGAAGGGACGACGGATTCCATGGAGAAACCGGCCCGCGACCAAACCCCCTCGCTCTCCTCCTCACCCGCCCTTCCCCGGCTTCTGTTTCCACAGGGACACGTCACCTCAGCGTGACCCCACCGCGACCCCTCGTCGTCATCGGCTCGTGCCTGCAAATCACGGTTGTAGGTTCCGGAAGCGGAGAAGCTGTGCCGGCATCTGACCGGAAGACAGGTGCAGGAAGAAGCGCTTAAACTCGCTCGTTAAACTAGCTTTTGCTACAGAGTTTGGAAGGTGGGCGGAGGTGGGGTGTTTTTGCGGGGGTAAGCCGCGATTACAGAGAGGATCTCTCTTATTAGGAAGGGAGCCATATATGTATATTATATATACATATATACATGTATAATATATACGTGTGTGTATACACACACATTACATAGACTCTTTTGGGGTCCTGAAAACCACGTATTTTCCTTTTTACCGTAGCAAGGAAAATAAGGAAATGGAATGTATAATACAGATTCCAGGTTCCAGATAATCTCTGGGTAGTCCTCGATTTACTACAGGTAGTCCTCGATTTACAACAGGTTTTTAGTGACTGTTCAAAGTTAAACCGGCACTGAAAAGAGTGATTTATGACCTTTTTCATACTTAACAACCCTTGCAGCCTCCCCATGGTCACATGACCAAAATTTGGATGCTTGGCAAGTGGTTCATATTTAGTTTAGTTTTATTGTCATTGCACCTCATACAGCGAAATCAAACACCATCTTCAGTGCACATCATGACCATGACCATGAAAATAAACACAAGCACACACCCTTCACCCTTTACACATTGACCCGGAAACCTCCGACACCACACCAACACTGCACTGTACAGCAGAATTCAAAAGAGCTACTGCCCTGGGATAGAAGCTGTTTTTCAGCCTAATTGTCCTTGTTTTTATTATTCTGTACCACCTGCCAGATGGTAATAATTCAAAAAAGGGTGCCCAGGATGAGATGGATCTTTGAGAATGTTTTGAACTTTCTTAAGGCAGTGGGAGCTATAAAGCTTTTCCAAAGAGGGGAGAGGGCAACCAATGATCTTCTGGGCAATGATGTTAACCCTCTGGAGTGCTTTCCTATCTGCCACTGCAATTGGCAAACCATACAGAGGTGCAGTAAGTTAAAATGCTCTCTATGGTACAGTGGTCACCAGCAGTTTTTCATTCAGTTGTTGTTTTCTGAGAAGTCTCAGGTAGTATAATTTCTGCTGGGCCCTTTTGACCAGCACTGCAATGTGAGCACTCCAGGTCAGGTCCTCTTTTAGGAAACTTAAAACTGGCCTCTTGCTCCACTCGGTCTCCATTGATAAGCAAGGTTTATCAATTAAGCATGTTTGATCTGTTCCTTCTATAATCCACTATAAACTCTTTGGTCTTATTGATGTTGAGGACCAAGTTATTGTCTCCAAATTATTTACGAGGGTTGCAGTGCCCTGGAGTCATTTGATCAGCTTGTGTGAACTTATAAGCAAAGTCCATGGGGAAGCCAGATTCACTTAACCATGTTAACTAACTTAACAAATGCAGTGGTTCGCTTAACAACTGTGGCAAGAAAAGTCATAAGATGGGGAAAACTCATTGGATAGATGTTTCATTTAACAACATAAATTTTGGGCTCAATTGTGGTCATAACTCAAGGACTACCTGTGTTCTGAGCTCAGATCTATTGACCTTAATGTAAGAAGGCAAAACTACATGGATGTTTTCAAATACATGCTTAAAAACCCAAAGAAAAAAACCAACAAAAGCAAGCTCCAAAACTGAATTTTAAAGAAAATATCAAGTTGTGTTAGATCAGTGGTTCCCAACCTTTTTTTCGCCCCGCACCCCTAAAGAAATTTCACTCGAACCTCGCACCCCCTGAAATTTAGACTTTAGGAACTACTGAACGCGTTAAATATATGGTAGGATTGAATCTTTTCAGCTATGTATGTGACGGCCACTAAATAACAATACTTAACTCTAAAATGAAAACAAAGTTAATCCATTGCATAATAAATAAAAATTCCAACATATAGCCAATATCCTATTATTTACCTGGACTTTTCTTACATCCTCTGGAATATCGTCTCGCAACCCCAGGGGGTGCGAGCACCCCAGGTTGGGAACCCCTGTGTTAGATAAATAGCTATTTTCCTACTATATTTTAAAACTAAAAAAATACCCCACTATACGTTGCATTTTCTCCTTACGTGTTTATAATTTTCTTCAACAGAAGATTGAAGTGGCACTGATAATTGAACAGTGCAGACTACAGATTAGGCTGCAAATACTGTGTGCATTTTAATTTTACAATACTTTCTAGAAAAGGCTCTGATGCTAGAAAAGCTGGAAGGAAATGGAGGAAGATGACCAGATATAGGTTTTTTTTTTCCTTTTGTTCAATCTTATATGATTCTTAGAGACTAGATAAGTTCCATAAGTTTTCTTACCAAGGTTTTTCAGAAATGTTTTGCCATTGCATCCTTCCTGTAGGGCTTAGGGAAAATGACTGGCCCAAGAATCACCCAGCTGGCTTTGTGCCTAAGGTGGGAATAGAATTCAAGAGTCCCCTGGTTTTTAGCCTGATGTCTTAACCATGGAAACTAATTCTATTAAAGCATGTGGGAAATTTTGGCTTTTAAAGCTATTATATGTCAAATAAGATTACTTACAATTTTTGTGATGGGTTGCATATTTTTTTTGGCTGACAGGACTGCATCATCAACAATAGAACGAATGTATGGAACAGCAGAATTTCCTTCCGATAGATTACTATCTTCTTGCATTGCATCATCCTTAGCATTAATTTGACCTTAGATTAAAACAAAGATTTTGAACCTTTTAATTAAATTGTTTTCATCAAGCTATGGTTTTGGAGCATCGCAACACAACTTATAATAGTAATCATGTTAGCATGTAGAAGCCAACCAAAACATTCTGGTTTATAAATGTTTTCATAAAATAACTTTAGTTCATCAGATACATAAAACATAAAAAATAGGTTACAACTTTTGAAGATGTATTTTCACTGTTTATATTTTGAAGCTCACATAGCTTCTGTTTTAATTATATTCTGAACTGTACATTTCAGTTTTACAGTTTAATCAGAATGGATGGTGAGGAATTCTAGAAATTGTAATTTACTAAGATCAGAAGAAAATGATTGTCCATCTCTCTCATTGAACTGTTTTAAGAATAGACTTGAGTGACTCAAATTAAATCAACTTTTAACTAGAATTGTATCTAAATTTATATTGTTGAAATACTAGGATCAAATTATCTTATTTTGGATACATTATAGAAAGACAAGCTATAGAACAGGCTTTGATACTGGGAAAACTGGAAGGAAAGAGAAGTGGATGACCAGCAACAATGCTGTCATCGCTGCACTGGAAGACCAGATCAGGGAGACATTGTCATGGAAAAAAATCTAACTGTATGGTTGCTATGAGTTGACCACAAGTTGATGGCACATAGTCAATTAACTTGGAAATAAATGTTTCTTGTTCCACTATCATGAGGCAAGTACAATAGACACCTAGAACTATTTAGAGAAAACAGTGCTTTGATTCCACTGCTGAGTTTGTATTTGTCCCTAGCTATTGTTTATGTAATTATGATATGACTATACTATAGTTATTAGATCCTTAGCTTTGTACCATATCCTAAGCCATAACACATGGCTCATAAATTACACTGACCACTAGGTTCTCGTGATCTGCTAAACCAAAAATAAACAGCTCTATGGCTTTGATATAACCTGAGTCATAATAGCAACTTTTATCCCTCTAAGCATCTGTCTCTTTAAAAATGTACACGCAGAAGAGGATATCTCTCTAGTAATGAATATAATTAAAAACAGTTGTTTCCTGAATTATAATCTTGCAGCTATTTTTATATTCTATTTTTGAATAAAGAAACAAACTATCCTGAAAGTTACCTGTAGTGAAATCTTTTTCTGAATCAACTGATCCAAAGACAACATCCACATTTGGCAAATTTTTGTCACCCTCAGGAACATCCTTGTTTCCCATATTAACCACCGTTTCAGTCTCTGTCAAAATGTTCTCTTCCTCTTTTGATTGATCCACGTGAACAATTTCTTCTTTTTCAAACGTCTGTTCTGTGTCCTGCACAGACTTTTGATCTATGCCCCTTATCGGGGTTTCCACAGTATGTCTGTCATATTCTGTTTGTTTTTCATTAACTATAATAAGTAGAGATTTGCCTGTTGGTTAAAAGCTCTCACAATTTATTTACCTCTTGCATTCTGATTATTTAAATATATTTTGCTTGCAAATTTATTTTAGTCATATCTAACTTAGCATTTGAAATTAAGCAGAATACACACACATATATTAAAAGTGCTTTTTTCCTGCAAGAATCCTGCAAAAAATGTGGGTTCTTTTTATTGTTTACATTTTCTGTTTCTCTTGCTTTTTTTCAGCTTAGATCTCGTGGCAGCAAATTCCGAGGTAGTCTTTTAAGCAGGCATTGACCAAACCTTATTCAGCTATAACACATTTCTTATATTTTCTAATAAGGTTATATTCCAGATTGCTAAAATATTAATTTTGAAATTTTGGTAACAAAATAAAACAAATAAGTGTCACAATATAATGTTTCAGGATTTATAATCTTTTATCAGGATTTATCCACCTTATTGTTTTCAATATTCTCAAACAGAACTGGTACAAAATTTTTATCAGTTACACATTAAGAATTTAAAAATAATATAATATAATATACAAGATATATTGATACACATACAGTATCATTTATATTGGGGTTGATCAAGTTTCTAGCCTCATTTTACTGTCTTAGTAAAGCAGATTCCAATTATAATAGTCTACTGTACAAATGTCAATTGCTGGACATTTGCTTGCACATTCATTTTTAGGAAAATATAATACTGAGTTCTAGAGCAATGCACAATTTATTGCTAGGAGTGTTGTTCCCTGTGTAAAAGTATAGAATAGATCCTCCAACTTACATAAGCTTAAAGTAGCCCTCAGGGCCATTGCAGTCCAGGTGCAAACTGCACCGCACAAGGTTGCCGCATGAGGAAGGGGACCAGCAGGCAACTGCATATGCATGGAGCTGGAAGCAAGTGCAATATTTAAGACATTTTGCGTATTTTTTTTAAAAAGATGGGGAGTTTAGCGGAATTCTGCACAATGGCACCTTTTATGCTAGCAGCAGTCCTGGTAGCCCTAATGAAATAATTGGGATTAATGCGTTCCATTAATTGAAATTCCAAGAATGATTATGTTGGGATATTACCCAACATGTAAACAATTACAGAGCTATCCTTAAATATAGATATTCCATATGTTTAAAAATAGTTTCACCTGAGCAAATTTATTAATTTGAGTAGCAAAATATGTCTCCTTCCTTCAGGTGCGAAAACAGACTGTCACCCAAAAATATAATAACGGAAAGCATCTGTTTATGTTACTAGAATTTGCACTGAAATAAAGATATTTTCAGCAAGTCTAAAAAAAAAAAAAACTATAATTTTTTTTTACAATGAGCTAATTTTCTGTTTTTTTTTAAATCTGCAACAAATTGAATTGTCCTACCATTGTCAAGTAATTTAATCAGATGTGAAACCCAATAACTTTATTAAAATCTATCCTTAACATTTAGTCTAATCAAGGGATCTAGAAATAGTTAGCATTTATTCGGAGATTACTATCAAATTTGCTTATATCACAAGGGAATCTGTCTTTTTTTCAGCTTTTTCACCAAATCATAAAGCACATTCCAAAATATATTAAAATAGGATATAAAGGGAAAGGAGTTTATTTCCAAGTAAGTGGTATAGAAGTGCAACCTTAAGTCTTACCTTTATTTGGATCGAGGAAGTCCATCTTTGGTTTTGGAAGGGATGCAAGTGGAACACTCTCACTAACTGGAGAGTATTTTTGCCTTAATGAATACATTAGCTCTTGAATATCATCCATTAAAGCAGCTTCTTCATCAAACAAATCTGTTTCTTTAATCTCCTCTTTATTTTCCAACTCCCTTGCATCTAAAATTTTGCTCACAATGTCCAGAATATTAGATTCTGAAGATTCAAGGATCTGATCCAAAGCTTTTTCAGTGTCCTCTTGATTATAACTATGTTTCTGAGCAAGCATCAACTCTAATTCCATGTCATGAAACAAATGCTCTATTTTGAAAAGATGCTGTTGTCCAAGATACTTCTCTAAACGTGCAATACGCTTTTCATCAAGAAACTCTTTTATTATAAGGAGCTGGGTCACAGACTCACTGTATTTTGGCTCTCTATGTTCATTTGAGTTTTCCATCGTATCTCCGGCCTCATATAAGTTCTGAAAGTGGTTTTCTGAGGTTTGTGGAAGTTTAAGAACTTTTTCTGAAAAATCTGTAGAGAGGTCTTCATTTCTTTGACTGAAATCATAATCCCTGTTTTCTGGTTCAGAAGTATTTAAATTGCTTGACATTATTTTATCATGTGGAGATGTTTTAATTTCAGACAATATTGTCAACTTCATCTTCTCCTCATTGTCTTCATTTCTCTTCATTTTACTCTGCTGGGAATTATAATTTAGTTGTATTGCCTCATCACTGGCCTCGTTAATTTCTTCTCCCACAACTTCTTCCTTAGCCTGATCAAGTGTCATTGCTTCTTCTCCTATTTCGTCAACAGGATTAGCACTTTTTAAAATAGCATTATTTGGCATTTGCAGTTGAGGACTTGGAATATCAGTATCTAATTTGAAACTCTGGTCATCTATCCGTTGCTCCTTAGATAATTTTGCACTTTCAGCATTTTCATCTTGTAGTAACTCCTCTTCTATTTCTTCAATGAAATCATCATCTTCATCTTCTAGGTCTATAGGCAGGAATTCTGTGAGTGATTTTTCTGTATTTAAATAATCATCTTCAATGTAATCAATGTTATGTTGAGTATGGTTTCTATGTTGGGTAACTATCTTAGATTTTTCTAGAACAGTTTTTTTCTCAAATGTTTTCTTGGTACTGGTAATATCATTCTTTTCACTATTTAAATCCTGCATTGCAGTTCCTTGTTGAGGCTGTTCAATAGGCACTTTCATATTTTTTTCAGTGGAAATTTTTCCCATGGCAGAGATATTTGATTGCTTTTTACTACTGAAAATCTTTGTTAATTCAAAATCTTCTTTATGTTCCTTTGCATCATACTTTGTTTTTCCATCATCCAAATCACTTAGCGACTTATTCATTAGGTCCTCTGACAAGTCTAGTACTATGTTCACTTGCTGACTATCTTTCTCATCTGTTTTGCTCATTTTTTCCAAGTTATTGTCCTCACTTTTTTCTTCCCCTCTTTCACTATCTTTCATTATTTTATTTAGAGAAAGACCTTCTGGATCAACGTTGATATCTAGAGGTGGACTTAATATTTCTTCTATTGTTTTTATAGATGATTGCTGGTCTTCCACATGAGCAAATGAACTCAAAGTACTTGTAGAAGTGCTTGGCAGTTCTTCTCTTGTCAGCTCTTCATTTTTTGCATTCTCATTTGCATTGTACTGAGTTGTATCTGTTTCTCCTGTAAGGTCTCTGATATTTACATCATGCACCTGTTCTTTAATAGAATCATGTTCTGATATTAAAGGATCATCTTCAGTTGAAGTATCTGAATGGGTTAACACATGCTCAGTATTTTGCTGTTTTCTAAATAAAGCTTCTTCTTCTCCTTCTTCTCCTGTTTGATCATCAGTTATATCAACTATTCTTTCATCCTCACTGACATCTGCAAAAAAATTATCCCCCAAATGTGCAGAATCGTCTTTTGTTTCATGCTGCAGTTTTGCAGCAGCTTCCCCAGTATTATCACCATTATTATTACCATCATCTTCATCCTCGTTATCATGCTCACTATCACTGTTTGCTTCTGATTCAAATACTTCATCAGGTGACAGCTTTTCGGCTTCTGGGTTTTTTGATAATATGATTTCTTCTTGTACTAATGATAATGAAGTAATTTTTTCTGATTGTGTCTCTGGTTCTTGTTGCTTCTCTATATCATAAGAATAAATGTCCAGTTCTTCCCTGAAATCGTCATCATCCTGTGATGTAACAAGGCTTGTTGTCTCATCATCAGACACAAAGGCATCTGCAGTTGAGCCAAATGTTGTTTTCAAATCTTCCGATACTTCGCGGTGCAAAAGTGTATGAGCAGCATCATTTTTATCTACATAATCTGATGGTTCAGTTTCACCCTGAGAGTTGTTATGATTTTTGGCACTTTCATGTTTTGGCACTTGTAATGTTTCCTGCAGCATTTCTTCTGAAGGCTGATGTGCATTTTCATCTCCCTGAGAAATGTCTGCCTCCTGACTTACACCAAGGCTCTCCCCCTTAGAATCAAGAGCTGCTTCTACATTCTCATTCTTTTTATGGAGAAAAGTGCTGTGTTCGCCATAGTCCTCATTGCCTTTTAAGTCTGCTTTAAAACCATGATCAATCTCTGGATCAGTAGAAACTGTCCAATCAATCACTTCTTCTTTTATTGTTTCAGACTTTGTTTTTTTCATTTCCATGTTTTTTGATAGTTTTAAAAGTTTATTCACATCATAATTGTCAAAATCATCTTTGCCTTCACCAAAGCAAACAAAATCTGTTTCCTGAAAGGAAAAAAAAATCTCAATTTTAACTACCGGCACTTTTTAAAAATACACATTTGCATGAATTGTTTCTAGTGTCTAAGTAATAACACTAGCAGTCAAACTCTTTAAAACATAAACAAGATGTGGGCTACAATCCTCTCATATTTAACTATGAGTAAAGCCCATCAATTCTATTTGGCATTTCGTAACTATGTATTTTATTGGGTTGCACTGAACCAAAGGTATATTAAATTGGACTATATCACAACTTACCTATCTATCACCTACAGCTGCAATCCTATAGTCACAATGGAACTGGACTGCACTGGATTACAGTGAAGCAGGCAATGACACCATTTAATATAAATACAAATCACAAAGTCTGATAATCGGATATAGTAGGAGCCTGACAATACCCTTCTTTTCTAGCTCCTAGTCAGGCAGGAAAATAAAGGTTATCTGCTATATATTTTCATACATGTCTAGTAAAAAAAGAAAGGACTGATGAATCACAGCTCGCATTTTGTGCAAGCTTAATAAATCAGTAGAATTATCTTTACTCTCCCCCCAATATTTGAAAACAACTAATTGCACCTAGTTAATGGTTAGCCTAAAAAAAGATGAACACTTGATGAGCAGTTTCCTATTTTTCCAATCAATCTTTCTTTTCTGCATTCTAAATCTACTGTCTGCATATAATTCTATTATAGCATGTAGCTGAAAAACAACACACATTTAAATAACTTACATCTGTTGGTAATTCTAGCTCATCATGAGTATAAATATGATTTATTTCAAGTAGATCCTTGGGAAAATATCCAAATACATTTCCAACCTGTTTACAAAAACAAAATAAAGAACAGTTTAAGAAGAAAACATAATAGGGACTCTATTTCTACCCCTGTTTAAACCCAGCTGTGCTTAATAGCCCATGGCCCATACTTCTGCATGCTCTAATCAAGTAGGCTCCAATCCACAGGTTCAGCAAGTAAGACCAACATCTTCCACAAAATGTTTAAATATTGTTTAAAAATAACCATTCTGCACCACGATACCCACTTAGGGGACCCAGATTCCTTTTCAGTGATTTCATTTCATTTCATAATTTTAAAATTATTTAAATTAGAACCACAGAATAAAATAAAATTTGATCCATTTTTATAAACAAAATTAAATGAAAGCTACCATTGGAATGATATTGTTCCAAATGCATCCAAATATTATGCAAAACATAATTGACAATCATAGGTCTTTAAAATGTTCAAATTTTAAATGCAGAATTTATAAAGACAGAACTTATTATGTATTTATTTGAAGAGATAAATGTATTCAAATAACACATTTATCACTCTGATCTTTTAGTATGTCCCATATCATTCCATTCAGAGTTAACAGTATTATCAATAAAGTATTATTGCCACTGCCTTCTGGATTATGCTAGCCCAAAATGATATATTTCAAACTGAAATTAGGGAAAAGTATCTTTAATAATGATCTTTTAACTACTTTACAAAAGGAGAGACACTGCACACATAATAAAGTGTTAATTATATCTTAAACCATGAGACCAGTGTCCTGGTCAATTTGATCAGCCAGGAGGGGGAAGAGGCAAACAGCTTGTCTGCATCTTCAAAAAACCACAGGTTGAAAGGAATCCAAATAGGAGAAGCTTTGCAAATGTTATAAATTGGAGTCAAGTGAACATTGCTGCAAAAGCATTTCCTCCCTCTTTGTTGATATGCGCTATTTATTTTAGAGTTACGCTTGCCACTTGAAAAGGGAAAACTCATATTCCAGTAAAACAAGCACATGAACAGCAAAATCTGTACAGGTAAATCCTTGACTTCAATAAGTCAAGGATTAAGTCAACTGTCAATAAGTGAGCCCATTGTTTGCTATGGGTTAGGTTCTTCCAGAAATTGGAAGCAAATTGTGGTCATGTGACTGTGGAGTGCTGCAGACACCATAAATGTGGGTTGCTGAGCCCTCAAAATGCTGTCATGTGACAATGGGGGATATAGATGTTGAACCTCAAATCTGGGTTGTAAAGTCCCTTTTTGGGGTCCATTGTAACTTTGAATGGTTGCTAAGCAACCAGTCATAAGTGCTATCTGTGATGCTAAATTCATTTCTTAGCTACAGAAGAGGTTTTTTTCTCAATAAATTTATAAAAGGTTTATGCTATCTAATGCATTCATACAATATTCTCTAGGTCAGTGTTTTCAAATTTGGCCATTTAGGACATGTGAACTTCAACTCCCAAAATTTCCTAGCCAGCATACTGACCCAGGAATTCTGGGAGTTTTAAGTTCAATGTCTAAAATGGCTAAAGTTAGGAAATACTGCCCTAGATTATTACAACTATTATCAGGAAGTCCATATTAACAGTGGAGAATTGCCACTGAGATTAGATAAACTTGGCAATTAGATCCTGGCAGAGCACATTAAAAGTAAACACACTTGTCTACAGATACTATTACTATGTGTAGTTAGAAGGTGCTTCCTGAGCGTTGTCCTTTTCTGGTAATAGCTTTTATTTTAGGAAGAATCAAACCTCAACAATCGACCACAGGAAATGTTTGATGACATATGTCATAAAATGCTATATAATTTTTATGTCATAAAATGTTTTACAAAATTTGCCAAATTTCAATTCCACTGGAGTCTCAGATCTTGGATTTTGGATGCATTCTGTGAATTAGTCAATCTGAAGTACCTTGATTCAAAAACTGTTGCTCTACGATGTCCCATTTTGCCCAGTGAAAGGTTACAGAAAAAAGAATTTTAATAGTATATAGATAGCATTCAGAACAGTATGACTTCTTTTGCATGGGAAAATAATTTTTTAGAGATACAGTGAGTCCCATCATGCAATGTAGCCACCCCTAAGGATCTACTCACAAGTGACTTATTAGAAAAAGTAGCCTACTAATATCCCTTTGACCCTCACTTGTAAAAAAAAGCACTTAATATATGAAGAATCACTTTGAACTAAAGTAGCATCTTTGAAAGAAATTCCAGCACCAACCTAACAGCTTATCATGCTAATCCAGAAACAAACAAAACCAACCATATTCGAGTTAAAAATTATGCATACTGAGGAAAATCCCCAGATACCATAGCAATTTGTCTTAACTAGTATTGTTTTAAATGTCTCTTAGGCTATTACTATACTATGTTTACAACAGAGAATGGTGTCCAATAACACAGTTATTCTGAACAGGTGGCATGCATGCCACAGGTGGGACTCAGGTAATCTATATGAGTCACAGAGTAAGTTGCAAAAGTCTTTAACATTTGATATGGGTGATAATGCATTTAAGAAATTGTTGGGGAAAAGAAGTATATCATTACAGCTAATGCACTTACATTCTCAAGCTTATTTCAGTAATATTTGAAATGTTACTATAATCAACCTTTTCAACTTAAATTAAGCACAGATGCTTGAATCGTTAAAAATAAACTTGCTAATAACGTTCTTGAATGTCACTGCAGACTGATGATATTTACAAATTTTCCTCTCTCATTGATATAGTTTGCTGTACCAGACCATGTTATTATTACAAATATTACTTTAAATATCTCACAGAAATATAATTATTTAAATAGGATGAACTGGCAATGGCATTTTCATTTTCCTATTAGATGTTTTTTCAGATAAATTGATATTTGGTCACAGAGGGTTTAGAGATATTTTCCTGAAAGAGAATTTTACTCATGCAGCCTCAGATTCAAGACCATTGAACTGCAGGGGTGAAGGAAAAGGAAACTGTTAACCTGTTATCTAACTTAGGAAATGCCATAGAGGCTATGTTTGGATAATCATATCCATTCCAGAAATCAAGACATAAATCATACATCTATCTCTGTGATTATATTCTTCAGTCAAATATCTCTATATAAAGAATTTACCATTTGATACCACCTTTAAAATGGTGGTTACCAGAACAAGCCAAAATATTAAAGCATATGTGAGAATGACCTTGGGAGACAGGAGAATGCGGAAAGAGATCCTGACTAGGGAACAGTCATGTAAGAGAGGCCATAGCCCAGGGCTGCATAATGGGCAAAGAAAGAGGCTCATAAGGCACCTCCCTCAAGTTCTCAGGTTGTGAAGCAGAAGATTTTCAACACTTGCAGGATTAATTTCAGTTTTCCTAGGTAGACCAAAAAGGAAATATGACCAGAGGAGCTAATTTTACTTTATTGTAAAGCTATATTAACAGAATTTTTAAAGTCTGAAAGTACAAATCTCCTGCTGTCTCCTTTACAACTTGAGAATTTTGGATAGAGTGGGGGGAGGGTCCTTTCTGAACCTGTTTCATAGCCCATTGTAGACATGTGGGCTATACCCTCTCTTATCTGTTCAGTAGGCAGGTTGTCCACCCCCCTAAGTCATTCCCACATATCATTATACTATCCCATTTTGTTTACAACCCACTCATAGGTAAAAGACTTCCTGGCTTGCTTTTTATTTACAACTCAAAGCAGAAGCAAGGTCATACTTTGAAACAATCATCATCCTTGATTTTTCACAAGTCCTAAGGGAAAAAAAAACATGTGGGATCCCCAAACCAAGCTATTTCTAAATCCTTTAGCCAATTCCAAATTTGTATCATGCCAAGTATTTTGAAATATTCATATCATGCCTTAATAAGCAGAGAAATTAAAGAATGGGTCCTTACAATACTAACAAACGAAGCCTTGAATTAGTCACGATTCTCCAAATATTTCTCAGCAATTTTAGGAAACTTTTGTTTAAAAAGTTGGTGAACACATGTAAAATTCTAATTAAAACATTGATTAAAATATCAGGTTCTCAAATGTTTGTAAAACCATAAAGAAAACTTACACTTCCAGCCCAAAGCTCATTTGTTCTTCCAATTAATTTATAATAAACATATATCGATTCACCTTCTTTAAAATTTACAAAACGACAATCTGGACCTTTAAAATCCTTTACTGCTTTTCCTCGACACATTAACACTGTTGAAAGAAAGTCACAAAAATAAGAGACAGTAAAAGAACTCTGACATATTTGTCCATCTTGTTCACCAAAAAATGCCATGTAGCCCAGGAATGAAAAGCACTATAGTAATGTAGTGAAATTATGTTTTCATTATTTCCTAGCACAATGAAACCCAGTCAATAATTTGCTGAAGTTAATGACAAATGCTTATTTAAGTCAATGAACTGCAGCTGCAACTTAATTCACAATTAAGTTCCATCCAGACTAAAAGGAACTTGAAATATTAGATACATTATCAGTTAACATCAGATCAAATGAATAATCTGACAACAGATTCAGCTGTGCAATTAAAGAACCACCCACTTATTTTTTATCTTCAAAGAACATATTTTATGTACTTGTTACTTTTAGTAATTTTATGCTAGATATGGAAAACGAACACAGAAATGAGAATTAGATATTGAAATTGCTTCTCATTAAAATCACTTGCAGAAAAAATGCACAAAATATTTATATTTCTTAAATATACATACAATACATTGAAGCAATGCTGGGCGGGGGAGCATTAAGGCAAACAGGTTATATTAGAAGTTTACACCCCTATCCAATGTAAAAATTGCACATTCATGCCCTGAGGTCAATGTAGGGCAGTACTAACACAATTGGCTAGCTGTCAATCAGCATCCTGGTGCAATTCAGGATGCTAGTTATAAGCCTTACACAGTTCAAGGCATGGCTATCTCAAAGACTATCGGCTTCAAAGTGAACCTGCATATTCTGTTAATTCTGGGAAAGAAGCCCTGCTGAGGGTTCCATTTCTGAAAAAAAAAATCTGCCTGCAGGAGTATTGGTCTGTCATATAAGCAAACATCCCTGAGGAAAATATACAGGAACTGGGCAAAAAAAGGAGCTAAACATGTTTTTAATCAAGAGAACAAGACAACATTCGGAAACAGTTCAATCAGATGCCTTCCTAATTTATTGCATGAGGCACAATTAGACTTGCAAGATTCTGATATTATAACCACTTTCTGTAATAGTTATAACCTTTCTATGGAGCTGATTTCCTGGTTTAGTCTGCCAAGAGAGTGACCTCTGGAGAAGGGCCTGCTTAATGGTGGTCTTCATCCTCTCAACATCTTGCTTGCTTCCACATGTAACCATTGTGTTTCCACAGTTTAAAAATTAAAAATGAAAATGAAAACTTGTCTCTGGAAAAAAAAGCACTTGGATTTTCTCTTACGCTTTTTCTCTGCAGGTTAGTACTAGTAAAATATACTGTATATTGTGTCATTGTTTTAACACTTTTAATTTTTATTTCTCAGAAATGCCACACTGAACCATCCAGAGTAGTGGCATAAAAATACTATTAATAAAATAGTAATGGAATCTCAAAAGTCTAACATTTGGGTAACAGAAATATTTTTCTGTCACAGCACAGTATCTCAGATGATAACTTGTCTAGAGACGTTGCTCAGATTTTAATTCCAAGCGATTTAAAAAAAAAAATCTCCATAAATCCTGTAGTTATCAAAAAAAAAAAAACCCACCCTAACTGCGGTAAGTTTTACAGCGACCCAAACAAGACTCGATTACTTTCATCATAGCCTCCAATAAGGAGCACCGGAAAGCCAGGAATGCTCGGCAAAAGGCGTCTCTCGCTCTTCTCAAGCAGAAAAGGCGAGAGGAAGGATGCCCGCCGCTCCCGCTCCTCCCCGGCTCCCCCGCCGCCCCAACTTGGGAGAGAAACGGCGGTTCTACGAAAGGAAGCAGAGGCTACATCCCACCCTCTTCCCTCCCCAGCGCCCACGAGGAAGGAAGCAGCCCATCGCAGCGCTGCTTGACGTGGCCTTGAGGATGCCACAGGTCCAGCCTGTGGTTCAGATCGGCTGCGGCTCGGCAGTCGCAGGGACCCGGCGGATGCCGTCTTCCCTTCCACTTACTGCTACATTCGGGATCGGCGCAGCGTTTGAATTCGGCGAACCGGCGGTCCGGGTCTCGACTGGCATGACTGGGAGCCGCCGGAATACAAAGCAGCAGTGCGAACAGCGGGAGCGCTCGGGAAAGACGCCGCCGCGCCGCAGCCATGTTTTAGTTGACGAGGGCTGCCGAACTGGTGGAGGGGGGGGAAGTAAAGCAGACACGTCAGCAGAGCCGCTCGGGAGAAGGATATGGAGAAGAGGAGGAGCAGCAGAAGCTGGAGCCGACTCGGTCTCTCTCTCAAAGGCGGAGGGGATGGAGGCACACCACGCCCTGACTTCGCCCTCCGAACATCCTCAGCCGCCCACCAAAAAAGCCCAGAGGAAGAAACGCTGCACCTGGCTTGCTAAGAGACATTCAACTCTTCATCCCAGAATTCCATTATCATCGGTATCTGAGTTAGCTAGATACCCATATACATATATACATACTGTATATATCCCATATAAATGAGGCGAGACTTCCTCTGATGAGGCTTGCAAGCAATTTTTTTCATCTTCTATTATTAAAGTTCTCTCATTGACTTTAATTTCACATTTATAGGAGGAGAGCTGTGTTACAGTTCCCCAAAATCGGAAGTCTGGTAGCTTTTCTGACTAAGGAATTTTGTTAAAAAGCTTTTGTGAATTGCAGATAGTTTCATCAGCTACCTAAAGGTGCTAGACTGATGTAGAGCTTAATATGTTGCAATTACAAATGTATATAGTTATGTATCTCACATGTAACATGCAACTATCTGCCAACTTGTGTTCCCATTTCTTTTCCCCAGACCATTTCAAATCCTATATCAGTTTAGCCCCTGTATGCATTTTATTCAGTCGAACGGCAGCTCACAATTGTTTTAGTCAGAAAAAGTGCTACCAGATTCATGATCTTTCACTTGTCAATAGTTGTGAGTTGGGCCTTAATTTAACTGAGCTGCTGTGTAATGAGTCAGATTCCCACAATTTATTTAGATTTATTTGCTTGTTTCCCTCAGTCTAAAAACAGATGGAATTTACATCCAAGGAATCTCCCCCCGCCCCCCAATGAAAAGGGAATGGGAAATCATTTTTCAGATAAAAGTGGTAAAACATAATTTAGATTGAATTCTGGGAGTTGAGGTCCATATGCCTTAAAGTTGGCAAGGTTGAAAAACACTGACTTAGACTAAAGGAAAAGAGGGAAATATATTTTTAATTTCTGAAAAATAATTTTCCTACACATTGTCCAAGACAGTAGGCAGCAAGACAAATAAAGCCTTCTCCTCTGGCTTACTATCTTTTATTAGTCTCTTGAAAGGATTAAGCAGGTGAAGGATGTTACCTCGAAGATATGGTTGAATGCAAAAGTACACAAAAATTACTATTGTACAGGAAAATACATTCATCCAAGGATCTAATATAAATGAAAGCCAAGGTTTGTCGGATTTTGTGTCCTCCCATGCAAGAAGCAGAGAGCCTGCAGCTTATAAAATGTAATGGTGTTCATCTTTGGATGGTTGGTGAAGAGTCCTTTAAAATAATGAAATGTATTAAGAAGGCAGAGTTCCTCCTGCCAACCACACACTTTATAACTGTGTGCAATCCACTGTATTCGTCCAATCACTGCTATTTTCTTATCTGTGCACGATCCACTGTATTCATCCCATCATTGCTATTTCTTTATCTGCAATTACTATAATCTTAATTATTAACTGTGACAATGCTGCAAATATATGAAAACATCACATTTATTGTTTTACTTTTGTTGCTGTTATTCCATGCTATTCTTTGGAATCCTCAATATTACCCTAAACATTCTGAAAATTGCCTACTATTCCATTCCTTAAATGTGATGTCTAAATACAGTATAAAAGTAATTTTCTTTCAGCTGACTTACTTTATTGTTTGTCCTATACAAAGCGGAATATTTACTCTACATCATGTTCTTCATTCATCTGTATAAATAGTACAGAGGAGGAAACATGATGATTCAGAACACTAATTCACAGTTAGTGTCAGTAAGTTACATAATAAGGTCTCTGGGGTGCTTTAGAATCCAGTTATATCATAGCTGGCTCTTGGTTAGACAAAGAATTATTTGCAAAGTTTCTGGTTCTGAGTCCCAAATCTTATTTTACTTTGTAAGTATATTGGAAAATCCCTGGCATACAAGTTCCTTGGCAAACAAACTTTGGCATGCATCCATTTAATTCCTCTATGGCCACTTTTATTGTTTATAGTCCATCAAGTTATCAAAGAATACATCTTACTATACAGCTGTAAACTAGAATGACTTTTAATGTGGATAATGATTAAAATTTTGCCATAGGACTAAGAATTAAGGACTAAGATGACAACTCACTGGATTGTTTTGGATCATGATAAAATAAAATTCAGTTTGTAGGCAGTGGGGAAACCACACTGTGTGAAATATATGCAATCATACAATCTCATTTTTCCCCAAGCGTATGTAAAGCTAGAATAGTCTGAGAGAAAAACCAGTAAATTAGCACTTAACATGCTGAGCCAATTAACATTTAACCATAGATGAAAGAAATTTCTTCCTGAACAGTGATTAGCCTCTACATATGAATGGGTAGATACCTGTAGAAAGGACTAATTAATATACTCGTCCCAAAGAAACTGGAGAACGTGGATTTTCAAAGATGATCACAGCTGAAGGGAAAGATTCTCTCTGTATGACAGTATATTTAAAAAGGATAAAGACTTCCTTGAAACTAGTTTACTATCAGGATTCCAGCAATCACCCTAATTAAATCATGAGCCTTGAGCCAAACTTCAAGTTCTTACCTGGAAAATCAACACAACCCAGATAGCCAGAAAGGATCTTGTGAAAGAATAAAGTGGAACAACATCTGATGACCTCCTTTTACTGGTCCACAATAGAAAGCGTCCTCCCATATTGCATTATGGTGAGGTATGCTGGCTTGACAGCCGTGGATAAAAAGACATTAGGGGGTGGTGAGCACAGCACAAAACATCGCAGGCTGTTCCTGATACTACTAGATGACATCGCTAGGGCTTGCTGCCTTAGAAGAGTGAGGAAAATTCTCAGGGATGACTCACACCCTGGTCAGCACTTCCTCACTCTCCTACCATTGGGTAGGAGATATAGAAGCACAGTCAGCCACACCAACAGGCTGAAGAACAGTTTCTACCTGTGGGCTGTCAGACTTGTGAATGGAAAATAACTTCATGTCAATATAGTATGATAGACTGCAGGGCCGGCGTGTTGTGCAACAAGGTCACATGGTATAAGATTGGGACTGGGTTAGGAACCTCTGTCCTGTGAGCTGTGTTGGTGGGGCGTGCACGAAGGGAGGCTCAGCCAATCTCACTGTACACATTGTACTCTGACAATAAAGGCAATAATTATTCTTCAGCTCTTGACAGGACAGTGGGGAATGGAAGGATTTATATTCCTTGCAGACAGCTGGTCATTTACATCCTTTTAGAGGGTCATTGAAGCACTTGGGAGGTTTATCAAAGAAAAAATAAAGTGCAGTTGCCTCCTGAAAAAGCACAAACAGAATAACCATGACCTGGACTAGGCTCAACCTTCTAAAAAGGGCCCTCTCCAATAAGCATTTCTGGAAATGACTCTGAAATATGGTGCACTTATATTAACCTAGATGTAAATATTTTAAAGCAATATTACACAACAACAGTCCATAAAATAAAATAAGACAGGACTGCACAGCAGTGAAAGACAACCTAAGAAGAAAGCCCGGGAAAATAACTATTTGTCAACCTTGCTCTTTCTTCAATTTATCTAGGTTCCAATTCTGTTATGTATCAAGAGACCATCAGAACCACTGAAAAATACGCAAACAATGAACTGGTATTATCTTCAACGAGGTTCAGTTTACGAGGACAGACACGCGCACCCAGGAACTCCGGGGCAACGAAGGGACGACAGATAATAAAACAATTAGGCACGAAAGGGAAAGGATTCACGCGTGCGCAGGCGAACTCGACACTTCTTTGAAAGGCAGGGAGGATCACGTGGCCCAAACGATAACCGTTTTCGGAATGCCCACAAAAAAGATGGCGCTCGCTGCGGCAAAGCATCGGAAGTGAAAGGAAAAGCGTTGTCGTCGTGTAGAATGTAGCGCGTATATTCTCGGAACAGGAAAGAAGGGAGGTGGAAAGAAAGGAAGCTTCCTATTCCGGTAGGTAGCGCTAATCTGATAATTATCAAATGTTGTGCTCTCATCGGCTATTAGCAATAAAAAAAAAGAGAAGGTAGCAATCCGTCTTACGAAGGATGTGTACGAGTATGTGTGGTCGCTATTAGAGCATTTAAACGGGGTCTCCAACCTTGCCTAGTTTAAGACTTGTGGACTTCAACTCCCAGAATTCCTCAGCCAGCTTCCCAATTCTGGGAATTGAAGTCCACAAATCTTAAAATGGGCAAGGTAGGAGACCCCTGATTTAAAGCAACGAATTCACTGACCGTTAGGCTAGCATGGTCATAAAACAGTCTTCACGATCTTTGTAACTCCGGTGTTATTTCGTATTATCGTTTTCCTTTTGCTCCTAAAAGAGGTGCTTAGAAAATTGACTGCAAAGGCCAATTGAGTTTCCTGCTTTGCATTTCTGGGGTTGCTGGCTTAATTGAAGTGAAATTTATGCCTTTCTAATTGCAGGTTTTGTGAAGCAAGGTGGGCTCTTAACTCCTTTTAGTCACATCATCTTCTGCTTGGGAAACACTCTCTGGTCAATGGCAGTTTTTCCTGTAATTTTGTTCTTGTAATTTTTTAGAAATTTTAAATGCCATCTACTTCTTTTAAGAGTTCTGGAGGTATTACAAGTTATAAGGAAAAGATACATAAAATTATTTACATACACACACAAAAAAAATAAGTGATCTCTATAGGATCAATGCTTTTATCAAAATGATAAAAGGAGCCTTGCACTTTAGGATTCAAGCTGCATCCTTTTCATATGTGCACACAAATGACTTCATCACACACATATAAAAGGGTGGCTTACAAAGCTGCAGGGCACATTTTATCGTTTGCCCCTTCCTTCCCATGCCTCTGCATAGCACACAAAAGGGAACATAGTACTACTGAAAACCCAGGGAAAACAAATATTTTGAAGTTCTTGAATTATTACAAGGAGATAGATTGTTTCAATCCCAATGGCAATTTATTCCACAGTATGGTTCCTACCACAAAGAAAGACCAATTGGTTGCTTATGTCCAATTCATCCATAAATGTTATCCATTGATTATCAGAGCATAAAGTAGACTATTCATGGATTCTTAGCCTTGCAAGTAGCTTGCATCTAATCTATGTAAAACATTATACACCACAGTGACTCTCTTCAATTGTGCTTGAATGATTTCTGGTAGCCAATGAAACCGTTTTAATATGGATAATGAGGGATCTTGGACAAGTTCTCATGCTAACATTGTACTTGGTCTAATCTGATGCCTTCAGTTCAAGGCCATGAAGAATGCATTGTAATGTTCAAGCTTTAAGGCTAGTACTACAAGAATCACTGAGATCAAGTTTGACTCCTCCAAGTAGGGGCACATCTATTTTATCAAGTTTATTATTTAATTATCCAGATCATTGGTAGGTTGAACAGCCTGTTTACAATGTAAATCTATTTCTAAAAGGAACAAATCAAGAATAAACATATCCCTTACTCCTAAGGAAATTGGTAGCAGGTCTCTCTTTTTGATCCACCCTTTAAGGGATATTGAAACTTCAAAAGACTTAATTGAGAATGATCCAGAATTTCAGACCCAGGCATTTGCTGGAGTTTGGTGCTCATTTACTTCAGGGCCCCCAACTTCTGGCCCACTGTGCGGCCATGGCCTGTTCAGAACTGGACTATGCGATTGGATGACAAGTGCGTGCAACTCCACTTGCGCAAGCGGTGGGTAGAACCATCCCATCCCCTTTCTTCCTGCTGGGCCACTGCAGCGTCGTTAGAACTGGGTTGCATAAGCAGCAGGAAAGTGCACACATGCACACTGGAGCATTGGTGGGTGTCATGCGCAAAGCACTTGTGTGAGCGGAAGACACTTGCACACACTCTATTTGTGCAAGTGTAAATGGAGCTACGCTCACCTGCCAGTTACATAGAACCATCCCCTCTCCCCTCCCTATCTGTATTTGTTAATGAAGTCAACACTACTGAATGTGCCACTCATAATCCGGCTATTGTCTTAAATAGTTTTGATTATAGTTGTCTTAGTTAATTAGGTTTCCTAATATTGCTTTATTTGAAATATGTGGTATTTTTCTTGATGTTTAAATGCTGTTGTGTATAAGTGTATATTTCATGAAAAACTTATTCCTGGGAGCTAATTAAGGATACAACTATGGCTATTAAACAAACACATTTGTTTAAACGAAACATTTAAAATGTGCGTTTTTTCTCTTTCCTGTTTTTGCAGATAGTTAGATTTTGAATGTTTTGTTTATAAGTTTTACACTACTGTAGAGTTGATGGATTTTCTTCTACTATACTTTAAAGCTGATTATAACAATATTTTTTCTCTCTATTTTATTTTTTATTCTTAAAAAAGTATAGTCATAGACATGGATAACTTTGCTGAAGAACTGAGACAAGAAACAAGGTGGTTGTCCACAGAAGAAACAGAGGATGAGTCTTCAGCCAATGCCAATGTTCCAGGAATTTATTTGCCTTTACTGCCAAAACATTTCAAGTATCCAAGTAAGTTTTTACTGACATAATAGAAAGTAGGGATGAAGGAAAGTAGCAAAATCCTAGTATTATTCTCTCCCTTTCCCCCATATAGGCCTTCATCAGCCTTCAGTACATAGTAGTGTTATCTTTACCTTTTGCTCAGGGGTGGGATTCAAATTTTTTAACAACCGGTTCTGTGGGCGTGGCTTAGTTGGTGGGCATGACTTGGTGGTCATGTGACTGGCTGGGCGTGGTCAACTCAACATCACTCACATCGAGGCACGCATCTCCTCGTCTAGCCTCTCATGACTGTGAGGATGCTGCAACAGTCGTAAGTGTGAAAAACGGTCATAAGTCACTTTTTTCAGTGGCATTGTAACTTTGAATGGTCACTCCACCCAAGCAGAGTACCAGCAAAGGAGGAAAAAAAACTCCAGAAAAGTTCCAGAGACAGGAAGTCTAGTCCTGCCAAGAAGGTAATAAGGGTTAATGGAGAGGCAGTTTCTGTAAGCAACACCAAAATGTTTCCTTCCTGCCTTCCTTACAGGATTAGGCCAGTAATTTCTTCTAACAACTGGTTCTTCGAACTGCTTAGAATGTTAACGACCTGTTCTAGCGAATAGGTGCGAACCTATAGAATCCTACCTCTGCTTTTGCTATAAACCTGTTATAACCAATTATTTTCTTCAAGGAAATTGTATAATATGTCTTTTGGGTGCCACTTTGAAATGCAGTTGAGGAATAGTATACTGAACATTAATGTAACATGGAATGTTCATTTATAGAAAAACTAGCAATTTAAAAGATGGGTTCTAACCTAGCTGTTGCCCTGATATTGTTTTTCCTTTTGGCAAAGCAAATTCAATTGGTTGACCCTTACCAATGTGCTCTACTATAGTACATATTATTTTTATTTATTTATTTGTTGAATTTGGGCAATGCACAATTGTTAGTTACTATTGCTGTTATTCATATGAAGGTGATGTAGGGATACAGACTGGTAATTGAAAATTGCATGTTGGAAACTTATAGTTTCACATTCCAGATATGAATATAAAATTCACATGTTTTTCTGTGAATGGTAAACTTAGTTCCGTAAATGCTTTATGTATGCATTGTTTGTAAAATAAATAACCAACATTTTCTTATGTTGGCTGAAGCAAATATGGCTGTGAAATCTTCAGAATTCCAAAAGGTGAAAGAGGATTGTTTATGCTGTATCCAAGATGCTCTCTTACAAAGTCAGTGGCAGAGGGCTGCAGAATTAATGATAAGCTACTTGGAAATGCTGGAAAATACAAATTCAGAAAAAAGAGTGACATCTCAAGAGGTAGGTAAATTAATTAACACAATATCTTTACAATGAATGGAAATATATAATTTCTCTAGCATGTGCCTCCATATAATATAATTAAGAACAGGATAAAAATGTCCCATTGATGCATCTTGTCATACATCGATATTTTTTTTCATAAATTTGGGGTGTAAACCTTTTTTGGTGTATGGGAACCTTTGAAAATTTGAATGGATGTAGTGAGTGCTCTCAAAAATGTCATAGTTATAATGGGATTGTCTGCTGACAAAATAGTTTCCAAACAATGTAGTCAATCATGAAAATACTTAGTTGACACAAGGCAACCTGTTGGCTGGCCTTCACCTCCTGTTAGCCCTTTATTTTATGTCATATATGTTGGGTCTATACAAGGTCCTGTATTCTGTGTAAATAAAGATGATAGAGGATGGTGTTTTTATTTGTAGAATGCCAGATCTCTCCGTCTGCCTACCTGATGGCAGAGTTTATGGGAAACTAAATACGGAAACTATAATGTTCACAGGCAAATGTATTGGGACATTGGTCAAGAAAATCAAGATGATAGCTTTGACCACACCATTGAGCCTGCCATTTTGACTTTCTTGATTTCTCCACTGTGGATGTCCCTGCTCATGGTCATCATGTTAGTGATTTTGTTGTAAATAGTTTTATAAATTAAAGGTACATCAGTAGTCACAGTGCATTTGCTTTTAGTACTATGGCTTTATGACTTGCTTGGAGTGTATTTTCTTCCTGATTAGGAGATCTGGAGAGTAGGAACTGAAATCTTGCAACAGCATCCACAGAGTAATATAGAAGAGGTCAACTATTTTGCAGATCGGATGAAAAATTTAGGAGTCAAAAGATATTTAAAGGTAAGGAACAACCTCTTCAGGTAAAAATAATTTTAATTCAACATTTTAATATTGAAAACATGTTTTATTATGATACTTCCTACTGATTCCTTTAAGAATATGATGTAATTTTAGAGAGGTCAAATATAAATAAATTTATAACCACTATAAAAATGATCAGAAGCCACATCTTTATATTGTTTCCTTATATTTTCTTCCTTACATTTCTTCGCTCCCTCACTCCTTCCCTCCCTCCCTATTCTGTTTTCTTATTTTATGTTCTAATTTATATTTTATCTTTTTAAAATTTCTTTGATAAAATTATATTAAAAAAGAAAATATTCTGTTATTGTAAAACTTAAGTATAGATCTTTAAATTGCACTTCATATTTTATATTTCTGATAAAATATGTGGCTTCAAATTTTAATGACACAGGACTGTATTTTGATTATGGCTTTGGAACTATTTAAAAATGGAGTGGCTCCATAATGGATTCTAACTGAATACTGTAAGCATATTTGTTCCACAACCTGGAAAAAAATAACTCTCATATATATGAATAAAAAGTGTGATTATTTCTTTTGTAAAAATCTTTGACTTCTTATGCAGCTCACCATCTAGCATACCTATACACAGCTACAGTTGAAAGTGGTTTCTTGTTATTAAAACAGAATAGTTCTAAATACACAACTCGTATCTGAAGTTATTGGGAAGATTTACTGTTGCTTTGCTTATGCATATTTGCATCCAAAGTTGCTGCTTCTGTTCAACCCAGTAAACAAAGCTCAAATTACAGATTTCTTTAGAGCATGCCTTCCACCTTTTGCGCAGTGGATTTCTGGATGAAGCCTATCAGAACTTGATCTTGACTGAAAGTTGGCGATATGGAGAAGAAACTGTTGCTCAGGAAAAAGAGCTGAAGCTCGTTCAAGCTTATAAGGGGTTGATACACTATTATAGGTGGTTAAAAAAGAAGACGGACCTTTTGGAGCTGGGTGAGTATGTGCCTCTACATGCCGCAGTGGCAACATGCAGCAGTAACTCCTGTCCTTGCATTTTTTCAATTCCATTCATGGAATATGAAAGGTGAGGCAAATCTTTGGCTGAGTTCTCAGGCATGCTTACTAGGAAGGAAGTTTCAGAGAATTCCATGGAATTAGTACCTCATGAAGCATGTAGAAGATTTTTGAAATTCATTTGGTAGCTTTCTCAGCAATGGGGAAGGCTAAAGATTACTCTATATGTTGTTCCTTCTGTATTGCATGTTTGTTTTTTGTTGTTTTTTAAACGACCTGGAGAACTCAAAACAAATGGCTTTTTCAACTGGCTACTATTATCTTACTTTGTTTGCTGATAAACTCTATCAGATTTATTGGCCTTGGATAATCATAGTATTTAACTATGATTTGAGGCCATGATCAAGACTGTCAAAACAGTATACACTGCTCAAAAAAATAAAGGGAACACAAAAATAAGACATCCTAGATCTGAATGAATGAAATATTCTTATTAAATACTTTGTCCATTACATAGTTGAACGTGCTGACAACAAACTCACACAAAAATTATCAATGGAAATCAAATTTAGCAACCCATGGAGGTCTGGATTTGGAGTTACACTCAAAATCAAAGTGGAAAAGAACACTACAGGCAGATCCAACTTTGATGTAATGTCCTTAAAACAAGTCAAAATGAGGCTCAGTAGTGTGTGTGGCCTCCACGTGCCTGTATGACCTCCCTACAACGCCTGGGCATGCTCTTGATGAGGTGGCGGATAGTCTCCTGAGGGATCTCCTCCCACACCTGGACTAAAGCATCCCCCAACTCCTGGATAGTCTGTGGTGCAATGTGGCATTGGTGGATGGAGCAAGACATGATGTCCCAGATGTGCTCAATTGGATTCAGGTCTGGGGAACGGGTGGGCCAGTCCATAGCATCAATGCCTTCGTCTTGCAGGAACTGTTGACACACTCCAGCCACATGAGGTCTAGCATTGTTGTGCATTAGGAGGAACCCAGGGCCAACCACACCAGCATATGGTCTCACAAGAGGTCTGAGGATCTCATCTCGGTACTTAATGGCAGTCAGGCTACCTCTGGTGAGCACAAGGAGGGCTGTGCGGCCCCCTAAAGAAATGCCACCCCGCACCATTACTGACCCACTGCCAAACCAGTCATGCTGGAGGATGTTGCAGGCAGCAGAACGTTCTCCATGGTGTCTCCAGACCCTGTCACGTCTGTCACATGTGCTCAGTGTGAACCTGCTTTCATCTGAAGAGCACAGGACGCCAATCTTGGTGTTCTCTGGCAAATGCCAAATGTCCTGCATGGTGTTGGGCTGTAAGCACAACTCCCACCTGTGGACGTTGGGCCCTCATACCACCTCATGGAGTCTGTTTCTGACCATTTGAGCAGCCACATGCACATTTGTGGCCCACTGGAAGTCCTTTTGCAGGGCTCTGGCAGTTTTCCTCCTGTCCCTCCTTGCACAAAGGTGGAGGTAGCAGTCCTGATGCTGAGTTGTTGCCCTCCTATGGCCTCCTCCACGTCTCCTGATATACTGGCCTGTCTCCTGGTAGTGCCTCCATGCTCTGAACACTATGCTGACAGACAGAGCAAACCTTGCCTCAGCTCGCATTGATGTGCCATTCTGGATGAGCTGCACTACCTGAGCTACTTGTGTGGGTTGTAGACTCAGTCTCATGCTACCACTAGAGTGAAAGCACCGCCAGCATTCAAAAGTGACCAAACCATCAGCCAGAAAGCATAGGAACTGAGAAGTGGTTTGTGGTCACCACCTAAAGAACCACTCCTTTATTGGGGATGTCTTGCTAACTGCCTCTGCTTTCCACTTGTTGTCTATTCCATTTGCACAACAGCATGTGAAATTGATTGTCAATCAGTGTTGCTACCTAAGTGGACAGTTTGATTTCACAGAAGTGTGATTGACTTGGAGTTACATTGTGTTGTTTAAGTGTTCCCTTTATTTTTTTGAGCAGTGTAGTTTAGTTGCTAAGCTAAATTTTTTCAAAGGAAAATGTAAGGAGAAATCGTAATAATCTGTTAGTGATCTTGTGGAAGCACAAAATGGAGAAATAGGGAAATTCTAGTTGCTCAGTTCCTCCATAATATTTTACCACATTAAGTATTAAGGTTGAGAATTGGGAAACTGTTAGCATCCAAACCAAACTTAAGTCTAAAAATGTTAGTGAATTCTTAGAAGCTTAGCACTCAGACAAATCAGCCCTCAATGGACACAGAGAGATAAGCCACATTTACACATCACCCAGAAGAGACAATAAAAAGCTCAGGAAATCAAAAGACCAGAATATATTCTTTTCCACAGCCAATACTCAGAATAGTAGGGATCAGCATCAGACAAAAGATCAGGCAGTAAACAATGATTAAGGAACTATCAAAAGGAAAATCACTCCACCACTGATACTGGCAATGCAAGCTAATCTATATAAACAAAGAGCAACTCCCTCCCCATACAAGCACTGATGATGTTACCTAGTTAGGTAATAAAATGTAAGCAAACAACAAAACTCAGAACTAAAGACTCTAAATTGTCACATATAACAGTAGCGGGAGAGATAAACTCATCTGAGTTGTGTATTTCAAAGAAACCTTCTGCCATCCCCAAATGATGTATATTCAGCTCTGAACTGATTACCTTGGGTTGCTACTTTTTGGTTTCACAAAAGATAACTGATTATAGCTTACCAAGTATATATTATGGAGAAGCATTGATGGAATATTTTGCCAGCTATGAAATGGATTTTTTTTATCATTCTTCCTCACCATTCATTTTATTGTTTAGCTTCTTTAGTGTAAAAAATATTCAGGAGATCTGAAATGGCAGCTGTTGTATTATAAATATGACATTTTCCTTTGAATTTCAATTTGAATTACTATATTCTTTGACTATAGTATCTCTTTTTAAACTTTTTTTTCCCTGGAGGGTTTTTGAAAAATTGATTTTAAAACCAAGGATAAAATAATGATGTCATCTGTTTCAAATTAGATTTATGAGATAGATGTCTTGCCTTTCACAGATGAAGACAGCTGTACCCAAACTTCTGTTCAACAGGAAATGCATAGCTTGTACGAACAAGCTAAAGTCAGCCTCAGGGAAATAATCAGAATTCCTGGAGTTTGGGATCCTTTCGTGATTTGTTATGTGGATGTAAGAACACCCTTTGTACAACAGACTTTCTATGTCACATAATCTAGATAGCTGTCAGAAGGGGCAACTTTAATAGAGAGTTATTAAGTAACTCAATGGTAGCGGTCTATAAATTCAGAAATTTGTGAAAGTGCTATAAGCTTTACCACCACACAATTACTTGTACAGTTAGACATAAAATGGTTATTGGATGGCTAGTATTGTCTTATGCTTTGTTTCATGGGCATGAGTCCAGCATTTGAAATTGTACATTTAGCTCCATGTGGTAAAAACACACAAAACAACCCTGATATGTATTCATTTATTTGTTTTATATCCTACCTTTTGTTCAGGAGCTTGAGGCAGTGTGTATTCCCCCCCTCCCCCCCACATACAACAACCACCCTGTGATGTAGGCTGAAGTAAAAAAAAGTGACTAGTTCACAATTACTCCATGAGCTTCTGTGGCTGTGAGTAGACTATGGCTGAGCCTGAATCTCCCAAAGGGAATCCGACTCTTAATCGTCACATCACATTAGCTCACCATTGTCAGAGAAGGCATGTTAACGATGCAGCTAAAGCCTACTTAACGCTGGCTTCCTCATGGGTTGGAGTATAACACAAGGAGCCTCAAGGAAAGGAGGAAAAAAGAGTGTTTGAAGCATGGCTATACAAGTGGGAACAGTCCTAGATGTTACTTTCATTAGGCTTTGGCTGATTTAAACTACTATTTATGAACCATTGACTAGGTTTATATGTTAACTGAGTCATGGTATGATTTGTTTGTTTCTGACTTAACATATTGTGAGAACCAACCACTTGATCTGTAAACCAAAGTTTATGATTCCACATGTTTTTATGGAATCAACCAGTCATTGCTGGACCAGAACAAGGGGTTCAGAATGTTAAGAAACTAGATTTTAGGAAATATTTCCTGATAATATGTGTGACTCACCGGAACAGTTCTCCTTCATCGGAGGCCTGAAAACAGAGGCTGGAGATTTATCTGTCCAAAATGCTTATTGCATAATATGTGCTATGATATTTATTTTTCACACCGCACATAACACAGATTCGTTTATCATTGTAGCAAAATTCTCCTTGGTGCTGCAGTTCATATAGCTGACCATAGATGGCCCTAGGGCACTGATTTTCAGTGGTGAGATAAAAATTGGAAAAAGATGCAACAAAGGAAGGAAGCAGAAGAGAAAGGAAAGAAACAGAGAAATGGGAAAGTCTGTTGGATAATGAAAAAGCAGAAAAATTAAATGGAACAAGGGAGATAAATGCAGGGAGGTTTAGTGGGCAGGAAATTGGAGAAGTATTGGGGAGGCAGCAAGTGGGGACTGCTAGGAGAGCAGTCAGGAGATGGAAGGGACCTCAGAGATCATCATGTCTGACTCTCTGTGCAAAATTTGCTAAAGCATTTTGGACAGATGACTATCCAGCCCGTTTAAACATCTCCACTGAAAAGGAGCATACAGTTTCAGGAGGCAACCTGTTTCCTTGCTTGAACCAATCAGGAATTTTCTCTCAAAATCTGAATTTCGTTTCCTGTAGTTTTAATCCACTGAGCCTGGTTATACCACCCAGAGCAACAGAAAACAACACGTCCACTCCCTCCTTTATATGACAGCTTTTTAGTTATCCAAAGAGGACTGTCACAATCTCACCTCAGCCTTTTCTTATTCTTCTAACTGTTCTTCCTAGGACTTGGTTTCCAGTCCCTGCATCATCTTAGTAGTATTAGCAGGCAAAAGCTTGGTTGGGCACACGGGGGAGAGAAAAGCTTGTCAGGGAGCCTGAAGCCATATGTTTTTGTACCTTGCCTTAATGCAGTTTAAAAGTAATTGCACTGTTAAATTACTTTTATTTTAGTTTCATTCTGTTGCAAACAGTTTGGTACTATGGTTCTTTGTAACATGGTGTCAGTTTGAAATGAGCAGCTGAACATTTGTGTTCTTTTAGTTGCTGGAACATTATGAGGAGTATGAAGAAGCACGGGAAGTGTTAAATGACTATGCGTATAATTCCAATTTTCCTTCCAACCCTAATGCTCATGTCTACTACTACCAGTTCCTAAAGAGAAGGGGGGAATCAAGGCAAACACGGATCTCTGTACTGCAGGCAAGAATTCTGGAGTTTTATTGTTCTGTTTGTTTATGATTCTGTTCTTACTCTCTTTTATCTATGAATAATGAAGAACACAAACCAGCTAATCAAAGCTGAAGGTTTTCTTGGAAGTTGAATGTGTGTAATAGTGTACCAAATAGCTTACTGAAATCAACATAATTTATAACTACAACTTACTCCTAATCATTTTGTAATCATTTGGAGTTACAACAGCCTTTTCTTTTGGTAATATAATCTCATCTCATCATGTGCCCAAAATGGAATAATTTGACCGATTGCATGTGTGGCCATCGTAACTTTGAGAATAGGCTGTAAATAGATTTTTTAAAGTCTGTTGTATCTTCAAATGGTTGTTAAGGACTGGTGGTAAGTTGAGGATTACCTGTAATATGCCTTGACTCTGAGGTGAAACTGGCAGTCCAATCCTGTCCTCTGGCACAAACTTCTGCAGGTATCTTCTGTAAAATCATTGAGATGTAAAAGTGCCTAGTTTTGCTTTCCAAAATTCATCCATTTTCCTGTTTGTTTCTAGATTCTGCATGAGCTTGTTCCTTCCCATGAACTAATGCTGGAATTTTACAACTTGCTTAAAAAATCGAGTGAGTCCTTTTAAGGGTATCCCAATATTACACTCAGATTAGTTGCTCTGTTCCTCCCTTGAGCCATAATTAACAGGAAAAGTTTCAAGAAAATCCTAACGCAAATAAGTTTATAACCTAGAATGCCTTTTGCTATCTTGGAGTTATCTTTTGAAGGAAAGCAGAACGACCTTGTTCTATTTGCACTGGTTACAGCCTCACTAAATTATCATAAGGCAGGGGTATCAAACTCAAGGCCCCTAGGCCAGATTCAGCCCATGGGGTGCTTAGTTTTGGCCCGTAGGGCCACCCTGGAAAAAAAAAGAAGGACCAGCTCATGGTACCTTTGCCAGCAAAAACAGAGCTCGGGAGGCCCGCATGGTTTTCGCTGGCAGAGGGTTGCAGGAGGCCATCACAGCTAAAAATGGAACTCAGGAGCCTGTTTTCTCCGGCAGAGCTCTCGGGCCACCACAGGCTCCCCTGACACGAGTGACGTCGAGTTGGCCATGCCCACCCTGGTCCTCCAAGATCAAACAAAATCCTGATGAGGCCCTCAATGAAATTGAGTTTGACACCCCTGTCATAAGGCATTCTGTGTAGAATTATCTTTGCTTTGAAAACATTGCTATAGATGATAGTGCCTGAAAAGTGATACATACTGATTAAATTATTCTGATATTATCCTAATTACTGTTTCTTTTTTTTTCCTGGCTCAGTTTATCTTAATGATTTTCATATTTAAAGGCTTGACACCTGAACTCCTATGAACCTGCCCGTATCTTATGATGAGTTCCGCTGTTTCTGGCCCACTATTAATATCCAGCAAAGGACAGGCTTGTTTTAGTTGAGGCCTGCTATCCTTGAATAATATATATTATCAGCTTTTAAGCTAATTTTAAAAATTAGTTTTTATCACATAATTTTAATTCACTTTCATTGAGTTCTTTTCAGTCTCCTATAATTTCCAACTAGCATGGTTAAAAGCTACAAATTAATGGCTTACTTCAGAATGGTGTTTGGTTTGATATATAGTATCTTATTGTAAATTGAGGAGATTATATCCAGTACAATTAGTTGCTACTACTGCAGCTGTTACTGGATTTTTGTCTTTGGTTTCAGAAATTAAATAGAAAAAAGAAAACCCTCACCATCTGGAAATAAGAACTTTTGCCTCTTTTGCATATATTAGAATACTATAAAAATAATGGGATCTATTCTAATTTCAGAAAAAAGAAAAAAACATAAATTACAGCTGAAAGTTATTTTTGCAACCTTGGATTTTGCTGCATGGAAGGAAAATGTAAAAGCTTGGAGTTATTTGGCAAAACAGATAGTAGAAATTCTGCAAAAGTAAGTCTGTTAGGTCTTGCAGTGTGATTACATCTATATAAATATGTGTGTTATATGTATTGTAAAAATCTAATGTGCTTTAATTTTTTTAGGGGGAGGTTCTAGTTCTCGGCATGAAATGGGGGATTATTTCAGATGGAACTAGGACTTTCTTAAAAAATAGAATCAGGAACCCAGAGTTCAAGAAAATTTAGCAATCTCCTTAATGAGCATTAGCTAATGAGGACTACCTGTAATAAAGTATGAATTTCCCCTACCAATCTTTGAGGTATATCTATTCAGATTTAGATCTAATTCAAATATTCCTGGGTTTTCTTTGAATGTTTTTCAGCTCCGATAAGCAATTTTACTGGCTCAAAAAGGAGTGGGATATTCGAAAGGACTGGTGGCCAGCTTTTCATTTCAGTCTTTATTTGGCAAAAAGTAACTGGCAGGAAAACAAAAAACTCACTTGTGAAAAAGTTCTGATAGCTGGCATACTGCTGGGAAAAGGTAAGGTTCTCGATCCCTATATGTTAATGATGATTTCAAATACTATTTAAATAGTATTTAAAAAATGATTCCTCTTTCCCCATAAAATGTGCATACTCCATGACTAATACACAAAGAGCTTTATCAGTGCATTGATTTGCATCCAGCTGAGAAGTGAAAACTAGTGCCAATATCAAAGTAGCAGTGATACACCAGCACCTTATGTACCTGGGCCACTGCATTCCAACCAGTTGTGCTTCTGAGTAGTCTTCAAGGGCAACCTCATATAAAACATATTGCAGCAATCTAACTGGGAGGTGACTAAGGAGTCAGTGACCATGAACTTGGTTTCCCAATCTAGAAACAAGTACAATTGGCACACAAGATGGAGGTGTGCAAATGTCGTCTGCACCAGTGCTGCCACTTGCTGTTCAAGTTCATATGACAGTTGCCTCAATTGATCCTCAGGGTGGCCCTGCAAATATTTTTCTGGTCTTTCCCTCCCCAGGAGGAACCTGGTCACCTTGAACAGGGTTGCAGAGGCAGTAAGAGCAGAAAAATAGTTATGTTTGGTTGTTTTTCTTGCCACAAGGTAATACCTATATTTGTCTGGATTTGGTTATTCATCTCCAAGGGCCTTTTCTGATGTTTCATCTCCTGGAGTTAAGAAAATATGTCCAATTTAATTGACTGACTGTGTTTAGAAGAGCCCTTCTTGTGTCGCAAGTTATTTTAATACCATTGTTGGGTCACATTTGTTCTAATGCCATTTCATTTTTGTATATTTTTAGACTGCAAGTACTTTAAGTATGTCACAAAAGAAGGTTGTAAAGTTCAGAAGAAAAAGTTCCTACAGTTGAAGAAATTTGTGAAAGAACACAGCTGGGTCAGTTTAAGATTGGCTGATACGTGATTACTTAGTATCAAACATCATGCTTTTTCAAGGGCGTTAGGTGATTTTGATGTTCATCCTGACAATTATTGTAAAATTCAGGTAATCCTCGAGATCCCATTTTGAAATGATGCCTGCTGCAGCACCCCTTACAACTGGCCACAGGGACGTGGCAGCATCTCTCACCTCTTCCTCCACTCCCCATGGTCTGACCCACTGGGACTCCACAGTGCTTGGCCTACTCTCCATGCTTCCTAAATCCCCTGCCATTTTCCATGCACTGATAATTCCTTGCAGACATGGCGGCTGCTTTCAGAGCATTCTGCCCTGATCAGCCGACCATTGGGAGACCCTCAAAGCTCTCTTGGCTCTTGCTAGGCTTTGGCTAAGCCAGCTGCCTGCATGCAAAAATGGAAGCTTCAGGATTATCTTCCCAAAACCTTTCCCTTGTTTAATTCCCTCCCTCCTCCAGAAACGCACATTTCTTCAATAAAAAAACAGAAAAAAAAGGCAGGGAGGACAGACTTGTTGATCTTTCTTCTCCCTCCCATTAGGTGCTGAAACTAAACTCTCTGCCTCTGCATTTCAATCTTGATCTTTTAACCACTTCATTTGCTAAATTTACTGCTACCTTACCTTGATGAGTGACTGCCGGGCTGAAGAGTAGAGAGAAGGAAGGAAGGAAGGAAGGAAGCAAACAAAGAAAATCTGGAGCTCAGCTCAAAAAGTTCATTCGGGCATCTAGAGCACAATATGTGCAGCGAATGGCCAGCCACAGCAGAAGCTGGGTCCTTGGAAAGCTTTTTGCTGCATGTCTGGCTCCCTTTCCAGGAGTCCTAGCTGGATCCAAAAGGAAGTTGGACTAGCAGGGAAAAGCTTGGAAAGCTGTTGCTGTTTGCCTGATTCTAGGTTCATCACCTAATTGCGGGGAGGCCTTTTAATTCCCACTTTTTTCTGGTTCTTTTTTTAAAATTGAAGAAATGTGGGTTTCTGGGAGGGAGGGAGGGAGGGAGATAACCAAGGGAAAGATTTGGGGAAGATCATCCTGAAAGTGTCTCCTTTGTATGCTGGTGTCTGGCTTCCCCAAGTCTAGCAAAAGCCAGGAGAGGTTTGCAGTCTCCTGACAGCCAGCTGTTTGGAGTAGAGGCCTAGCCCATCAGCAGAGGCTTTATAATCCGCGCACAGAGGCTTGTTTGGAAGCTTCTCTGGCATTAGAATGTGGTGTTGGGCCCTAATCTAGGTGGGCTTTTCCCTCCTGCTGAGCTGTTTTTCCACTTTGCAAAGCTTTTTGCTGCTGGTGTGCCTCCTTTATGGACACGGCTGGGTGATAGGCCTCCCCCCCCCAACTCCCCTCAATGCTCCACTTAACAACAGATAGTGGGGGTTGTTAAACAAGGCTGTTTTGCTCAATGGCCATCCCCATTTGCGACTGTAATGAGCAGGCTCCATTATGGTCATAGGTTGAGGACTACTTATATGTTTTATGTATAAGAATTATATATTTTTTTTACAATAAATGTTTCTATAATCTGTTCGTATCAATGTACTTTTTTACTTGTTTATGTTTGAAATAAAAATTGAGGTTTTAGAGAAAACAGACACGATAATTTACATTTCCAAAGTTGCATTTACAGTAGAACACATGAAACTTTTTATTCATTTAAAATGTTTATATGGCTGCCCATCTTGTGGCACGCAACTCAAAATAGGTTAAATATGGATGTGGATAGTAGTCATATACAATATTTGAATAGGTATTATTGGATGCATCCTGAAAGCATATATTTCTGAAGGCTTCCCGGTTCATGGCTAGCTTATTGTGGTATATGAGGGACTAAGCTCAAGAGTTGGGCAGGAGTAGACTCCTTGGAAAGTGGTGAAGTTAGTTCCTTAAATAACTACACAGTGTAAAGCCACTCATATTTTTGTTTTACAAAATCATATACTGTATCAACTAAAAAAGTTCCCAATTGTTGGTCTCATCTACCTTCTTTTACCCTGCAGAACTATGTCATTTAGTAAAGTTTATAGAGTGACAAATGGGACAGCCTACCACTGTCCATTTTATGATATGAATGACTTACGTTTTCAAAGTTACCTGCACTTTAATGCATAATAATGCAAAAACGAATGAACTGAAAAACAACTAAGATTAAAACTTAAAAGTATCATTAAGAAGTTAAGATTCATTAAACCATGAAAATAAAGTTTCTTCAACAAGAAATTAAACTTTGATCACATGGTATATTGATCAGTTTTCTCATGGCGATAGGAAAAAATCGGTAGATGGTATAATCATGCCTTCCATCTAGGATTTTAATTCAAGTACACTACACCACAGTTTTTCCATCGAAGGAAAACATTCTTCTTAGCTGCTGCCCCTGCAGGATAAATCCAACACTGTTTGTGCTTTGGTCAGTTCCAAATTTTAATAATATTAGTCACCATTTTATTGACATCTTTGACACTTATTTATTTTCTGAATATCCTATCTTAAAACCATAGGAGTAACACTTAATTTAATTGTATTATTATTGGCTGCCAAATGGCTTTGGGTGGCTTACAAGTAAAAGTCAACTTATTAAAAGAAAAATATAACAGATCAGAACAGCAAAGTTCAAAAATCAAAAGAAAACCAAACCAAAACAAAACCAGAAAACTGGTCTAAAGTCATCTTGTCCCCAAAGCCTGGAAGAATGATCAGAACCAGAATCTTGGAGTGGGGAGGACATTCCAGATGGAAGGAATTGCAAAAAACTAAGCATGTATCTTGGGTCCCACAAGTTGATATTCTTTAATGAGATCTGAAGCGCACCCACCCTGTTGGACCAAAGCCAATGGGCAGAGATAATAGGAGATAAGAAATTCAGATAGCAAGGTTCTTAAGTATGAGAGTCATTAAAGGTGATAACCAGCATCTTGAATTGTACCTGGAAGCTGAATGGCAACGCAGCTGGATTATACATTTATAACAGGCCCCATTGCCTGTGCTACAACATTCTGGATTAGCTGCAGCCCATGTACAGCACCTTATAGTGATCCAATTGTGAGGTAACTAGAACATGAATGATTGAAAGACTTTCTGGTTCTGCAAAGGTGCAACTTTTGCACAAACTATACCCATGTAAAGGTCTTGGTTACAGCTTCCACCTGTTCTATGAACAAGAGCTGGTAGACCAACATGATTTCCAGATTGCCCACATGCAATTTTCAGATTGCAGGCGGAAGTATAACCCTGCTGAAAACAACTAATGAGATACCTTGAGACCTGGAGGACCAAATGGAACAATCCCATATGCCTTCTAGGCATTGTATCTAGTTTCTCAAATTTCAGTAGGCTTTTCCCCTCAAGGTTTCTATCAAATCTCAATAAGACTAAAAGTGTGTTTGAAAATGAATATTGCAGAAATCTGAATTTTTCACCAATTTACAACCCCAAGTTACTGTATGCACTACGTTCTTTTTAGCATAGAGCTCGTTAGTAGAAAATTAATGAAGGTGATTATCAATCCATATACTTATTTATATTTTAGAGAAATTGTAAGCTGTTTTGAAACATTAAAGAACAGGTTCTTTAAAGATTACATTCTGCATATGGTTAGCCTGAAAGGAAGGAATATCATGGATATGTATCTATGTTATGTTTTAAAATAGTATTAATCCATCCAGCCCAATCTCTAGAAGTCCTTGGAACTATATCTTTGTCTGATGTGTGACTAGACAAAGCAACTCACAAAGACATCCAGCAGAGAATGTCTAGACTCGGACAAGGCAGCTTCTTCTTCCCTTCAGTGAATGATGAAAAACATAAAAATGAGCTACACAGCTGCTACAGAAGGATGGCATCAGCTTTCATTGCTACTGGCCAATGTATATTCTATTATAGTCTGGTGGATGAATCCACATGAGTTACAACTCTCACAACAAACCGATTGAGCAATGGTAGAACTGAATTGCCTTCAGCCACTTCCAGTAACTTCAGCCCATTTCCAGTAACTCCCATCATTTCTAAGCAAGCTGCAAAGTTCTTCCTCTTTTCTGCAGCTTACTTGATATCTACATTGGATGCCAAGGAGGCTGGAGAAGCTTAACTTTGTTTTGCCAGATTGCTTCTTGATTGTACATGACTCCTGTTTTTTTGTGGCCTTCAGGGAAGAGCATTAATACAACACTGCTTTGGTGTATTGGAGAAATGTAACAGACATGCAGAGAATAACTTCGACCATCGTTTTTCTTGACAGTGGTGCTTGGGAGGCCATTTCTGTGGCTTGCAGACCATGGCATCTAGATTTTTTTTTATTGTCCTACACATCTTTATTGTCACACATTTGCACATTGAAGGACTTGGTAGAATTTGAATATTGCCATATGATTGAGTGGGGCTTTGAGTTCACAGAAAACTAATGAGGGAGGTAGTTTGATTCACAATTACCCTATACAATTTTGAGTTACAGCTGGCTTTTTCTTGACCTGCCTAGTGAATTCACAAAGCATCTACAATTTATAATGTGTAAATCCAATCAATAAGTAACAACAAATATAGGCCCAAGAACAAAAACAACCTAAAGTAAAATATAGCAAACACAACACAATCCAATAAAGTAGAGTAAAAGTTGATGAAATAAAAATGAGAGAAGATTAATAACGGATGTAAAACATTTTTTGGGGGGGGAGTAATTAGCTGTTAGTTAATTACTTAATTTGAGATCAGACTCAGTCTCAGAGATCACAATTAGATAAAATTTCAGTCTGCATGTACAGAATTCTTGAACTGCTAATTTAGACAGGATCAGACCTCAGTAGCAGAGCATGCACTTTATATACAGAAGATATAGTACAACCAATATTTCCAGAATCAACATTTTTTAAAAATCAGACAAAAACCAGATACTACTAGGTCAGTTGGGACAACATGACCTTCTGTTGATGTGATGCCATAACTCAGCAGAAAAAAATCCTGTGGTTCCCTTGGCTTGGCGAGCATTGTAGCATACAAAGTGTGTATATATGTACGTGTGTGAAATCTGTTCCTCTCAATCATTTAAAAGATATTATTGTGAGGCTGAAATATATTAAAGTTCTGTTAATCCAAAATTGTTGCAGTGAGAAGCAACTCCTTTAAATTACTTATGTTTTAAAATCCTATTTGTGTTTCAATATGCTTAGAGTCAGACGTGGAGGGGGAATCATGTTTCTTTATAATTCAGTCTGGCTAAATAAATTGAAATGGGGACGTAACTGATGAACATGATTCATCTTCCTTCTCCACTATTTGGCTGAAGTTTGGGAATCATTTGAAACTGGAAAAAACAGATCCTTTTTTCCCCCTGTAACCATAGACCAGACATTCCCGTATGGCTGCAGCAGCTGTCATTCTTTGGTCTGTCTGTCTATTTGCCTCTTATTGATCTCTATCTGGATGTGTTCTTGGATGAAATCTAGGGTGTTCAAGGGAACAGATAACTTTGTGAAAAAGGAAGGAAGGAGGTGTGGAACTGCAAGGAGGCGGACTGGAAAGCTGCTTTTCAGCTCACTATTAGCACACTTAATGAGACAGGGAGGGATTAGGGTGTGTGTGTGTGCCTGAATGCCTGGAAGCAAACCTGAGCAAACATTGGGCTCTATTCTGATGTATCACAGCTTAGAAAATGAATAAACCCAATTTTCCAGATGAACACTTATCAGATTCACATGATCCCAGGAAACCTCCAGGGAAGAAAACGTCTTCAAGTCTCCACAGTTCCAGGATTTCTCTCCCTGCATCTTATTTCCTCATTTGCATCTCTATACTCCTTTTGCACCATGCTGCAGTTCTCCTGGGACATCCACAGTGCCTGGATTATGGTCCTCCTTTCCAGCCTCCTTTCCATCTGGAGTTTTGCTCTGCCTATGAAACATTTGGCTGTTGTGAGCAAGAGAAGGACAACCACATTGCTGCCAAATACTGGGACATCATGGATTACATTGATCCTCAAGCCCAAAAACTATGTGGAGGATTCATCAAAGATATCTTGTGCCAGGTAAGGTAGTGGTGAGTAGCCTCATTTTCCTCATATGCCCTTATGATGCATATGATTGTTAGCTGTTTGGGCCTTTCTGAGAAATGGTGGGAATGGTAATTTAAGAATTTGCGTTTGAGGTTGCCAGGAAGACTTTTCTGCTGGTAAGTAAGTTGAGCCTATTGAATGATGATAAATTCTTCAAATTTGCTTTACATGCAAATTATTGTTTTAGTTATATCTCCCAGAATAATTTGCTTATGATATGGGCAACAATATAATTTAAATACATAGATGATAGATAAATAGATAGATAGAAAGATAATTGCTAGCCATATTATAATTGAAAGATTCTGTTAAACCAAACCAATAATTCAAGGATGACTCAAAAGTAGAAATTTGCCTTCTGATGAATTCACAGCTCCAAGTAAGTATGAAGCTGCAACTGGAGAGAGTAATGTTCATTTGCTCTTCTCTTCTCTCCAAAATTGTAAAGACAGCTTGAAAAGAAAATAAGTGCTTCTGACTGAACACTAACCCCATTTTAGTCCCTGGTAAGCAGATGTTTCAAATTTCGTACAGTACTGATTTGGGATAAGCCTGTTTGGAGAGTGTCAGATTATGATAAATTATATATCCCTATCTATATAAAACACACTACAAGAAGCAAAAATCAGTTTATGGAAGAATGATAATCTTCCTCTTGAATTGGCCTGTCTATCAAGCTAAGCCTCCCCTGCAAGATAGTTGTGAGCTCAAGAAGAAGATTGTGGAATGGTATATCCTGACGCAACAAAAAATAATCCACAGTGTTCAATTTGATGAAATTCAAAAAAAAATATGTCAAAGGATTTGGCTGATTATTTCATGTTCAAAAGTAAAACTAAATGACCTTTTAATGTATTTTCAAATGCAGACTGAGGTAGACACCTCAGCAAACGAATCAAATCAACCCACAGATCTTGGGTTTGGGTTTGGGTTTCCGGTTGCTATAAAGAAGGCATTTAGACTGCATTCTTAATAAACCTGCAATAGCCATGCTCCTGAAGACAGTCTTAGACCAGACAGCTGGATTCATGCTTCTAGAACAACTGTTGGAATAGCCCCCCTCCCCCCTCCCTGCCTTTCCCTGTCTCCTAGCCTGCTCCCTGCCTTGCCAAACCAGCTATCCCACTGGTGTGCAGGAGAACAATGACTTTTTGATGGAACTCTTCCTGGCCTCCTGCCTACACTATTCATTGATTGAAGGATAGGAAGGGGTTTCCTTCTGAACTGAAGCCAAGCTATTGTGATTTACCACATGCCATCACTGAGCAGAAATCAATCAATCAAACAAACAAACAATCTCCCTCCCCCAAAAAACAATCAACATTCTTCCAGCTTGTCATTCCTTCATCAATAACCTATATTACCTACGTTCTAATGTTGTTAAGTCAACATAGAACTGTTTTCAAGATTCCATTTTGAAAATAATTGTACAGCTGCTGAACCTAAATTATTATGAGGGTCAATGCAGTTTTGCAATTCATGTATAGACTATTATTTATTTATTAAATTTATTTTCCATCTATCTCATTTCGAAGTGACTTTAGATGGCTCGTGCCATAAACACATTAAAATCATCAGAAATAAAATGAAAATGCAAACAAAGTAAAATCACAGTTACAAGAAGGGGAAGGGGAGAGCGGGGTGGGGGGAAGGTGGGATTGGCTTTTAATCAACCACCTCCAGTATGTTACTTCCCCCCACACCTGTGGGGCCCCAAGCCATCTGGCACAGCCAGATCTGACCTTGTGGAAGGTCAGAAAGATGGGAGCCAATCTCGCCTCAGGAGGTAAGATATTCCAAAGGGCAGGAGCCACAGCTGAACAGAAAAGGATTAAGCTAAATCTTATTGCCCATGTGCACCAAGTTTCATTATTATCAGCTTATAGCTGATGAGTTTTGCATTATGAATTTGCATTTTAAATAAAATACATTTTATTTACATCACTGTTGGAATCCCATATTCATTTTCCTAATACAAAAACTGTGATGTCACAGTGGCAGTTTAAGCAGATTTATTCAGGGTTGTGCTGTGAATCATGTCTATTTGGATCTTTTATCATGCTTGTTATGTCTTGGCACACCAGCCCTTTCTAATTAGGCAGCTCCAAATCTGCTGGACTTCAACCTCCCAAATTTCCAGCATTCACTGTGATTGCTGAAAGCTGCACACTAATGCATTTTGAAGGTTTATATAAATTAATAAACAAAAGTGTTATTAACTTCTACAAAAAAATTGATGTTAAATCGTTTCTCTCAAATAGAAACCCCAAAGATTATAATATTCTGTTTTAAATCCTTCTTGGGCCTTTTCCCATTAAGGGCAGTTGAATGAATGAGAGTAAAATCAAAGACAACCCACCAGTAACTTTTGAGTTTTTGAAACTCCATCCGACTCCTGAATTCAAGAATGGAAAATTAACTGGGATCACCTTCAGACTGGGATACTTGGAGGGTCTAATCCTGACTCTTCATAAAGAATTCAAGGATTTAGCTGATTTAACTTGGTATATCCCTGAAAATCCCTGGTTGGGATCCTACTGGCAGAAACATCACCACCAAGAGATCAACATGTATAAAAACAATTCTCCTGGCCTTTCAGCAGAACATTTCTGCATAAGCAAGGGAGATCTTTTTGTCCATTCTGAATTTCAATCAGCAGATTAGAATTGTTCTCTAAAGCTTTGATTGATTAAAAAAAGTCTGCAGCTATATGGGAATCTGATTTCAAGACATTCTTTTGTAGAAAAGGAATATGATGCAGTAAACTTAAACACCATCTGAATCATCTAATATTAGGGGCTCTCAGGAAGAAAGGAAGGAAGGAAGATAAGAGAGAGATGCTCACACAAGCAGATAATATTTTACAGCTGCTACCTAGAGTTACAGTAGCATTTATACACTGCTTACCACTAATTCTATGTAGATCTAAACTGAAGACTATGTAGCGCAAACAATTTTTTTAAATGAGCAAATGGAATCATTAAACAATGGACACTGTGGGAATGAAATTTTAATATGCCTAATTCTTGTTGAGGGAGAATAAGAATAACAAACGGAACGCCCCTTCAATTACCACCTCACATGGAAAAATGAAAAGCAGCAGAGGGGCTGAGTTTTTCTTATTGTTAAGGCAATTTTATTCTTATGTCAACCCAAAGAAATGTCTTAATTTTATGCGCGCTTAGTCACAATGGATATTACTTCTATTCTTTGATATAAAAACAAAGCAGGGACAACATTTGGACTTTAAGCAATAGATCACAAACCTAAGAAAATGTGAGAAAATAAGTATTGATTTGTTCAGTTACATTTTTTAAAATAAGTAACACCCAGGGGTGGGATTCGAATTTTTAACAACCGGTTCTGTGTGTGTGGCTTAGTTGGTGGGCATGGCTTGGTGGTCATGTGACTGGCTGGGCATGGCCAACTCAACATCACTCACATCGAGGCACGCATCTCCTCGCCTGGCCTCTCATGACTGTGGGGATGCTGCAACAGTCATAAGTGTGAAAAACGGTCATAAGTCACTTTTTTCAGTGCCATTATAATTTTGAATGGTCACTCCACACAAGCAAAGTACTAGCAAAGGAGGAAAAAAAAACTCCAGAGAAGTTCCTGAGACAGGAAGTCTAGTCCTGCCAAGAATGTAATAAGGGTTAATGGAGAGGCAGTTTCTGTAAGCAACACCAGAATGTTTCCTTCCTGCCTTCCTTACAGGATTAGGCCAGTAATTTCTTCTAACAACAGGTTCTCCGAACTGCTTAGAATGTTAACAATTGGTTCTAGAGAATAGGTGCAAACCTGTGGAATCCCATCCCTGGTAACACCTTTGTAGGTTTCACTTATTTTAAAATTTCAAACTAAGTCTGTATTTTCCTACAGGTAGCAGGATTTAAAAGAACACAAAAGACCCATACCAATCAACCCCCTCTATAGATTGGGCATTTTGCCTGATCTGTGTGATTTGAAAATGTTTCGGTTAGAAAGTTTTCTTAGAGCTCAGGCCTGAATCACACTGCTGACCTTGATTGCTCACTTGTTCCCTCAGTCCAATCTCTTCAGGAAGTCTTCAGATAATTTGCTTTGCATGGAAAATGCTGCTGACATTTCCCATTAAAGATATCAGATAGCAGTTGATGGAAAAGAGCACTGCTACCAGAAACCACAATTTAATCATGGTAAATTGGAATCAAAGCTTGGATTTAACTGGTTTAATAAGATGGTTTTTAGGTGCTGTGAAAATATAAAATACGTGAGGTAAATGCAACCTCTTCAAATAATATATGACTTTTTTTGGAACCTTCTGAGTTACTGGGCCCCCATTAGAGGTTCAGATTTAATTTAATTTAAATTTTTTTGCTTTTAGCCTTCCTAGCTAAAATATAGCATAGTTGTTTTTATTGTAACCTTTCTCTTTAAATTATTATCTTAATATTTTAAGCTATGGTAACATATGCTTTCCAAGCAATCAATTTTAAATTAATTCTTCATGATATTTCCTCAAGTTATCTCCTTTGCTTCACCTCCCCACCACCCCCAATATTACCCAGCATCTGATGTTTGACTGTCTGCTGAATATAAGGACTGGACGAATAACACGTTCTTAATCTATATGCACAATAGGGAAGTCCAGATTTAATATTCCATGTTGCAATCAATGGGTTAATGACTAATGACTATGTTGGAAGCAATGTATTATTTATTCCTCCATTCTGCAGGAAAAAATTAGAAATATTTTTAGATTATTGTATTCCTTAAAGAACACGAAGTCCTGCTGATATGAAATGTCTTTATAACTATTTATTCACACTTGAGTTATGCAGATGCAAATGGTCGAGCAGATGCAAACAGCCATAGTCATGCTGTTTTTGAGAATAACAGAGTGTTTTAATCTTTAACAGGAATGCTCGCCTTATGCAGCCCATCTCTATGATGCTGAGAACCCCCAGACGCCCCTTCGAAATCTCCCTGGCCTTTGTTTTGACTACTGCTCAGAATTCCACCTCTACTGCCGTTCTGCAATCACACTGCTTACAGATGACAGGCACATTCAAGAATGGTGTGAGAAGAACAGGACCCAATTCTGCAACATCTTAAACATTCAGGATAAAGACTATTGCTTTCCTGATGTAGTGAAGAACACTGACCTTAATAATAATTTGGGTGTTGTGGTGGCAGACAAGAAAGGTTGCCTTCAATTGTGCCTCAAAGAAGTGGCCAATGGGCTGAGGAATCCGGTGCTCATGGTGCATGCCAATGACAATACCCATCGGATGTTTGTAGCCGAACAAGTGGGCCTTGTGTGGGTTTATCTCCCAGATGGAAGTAGATTAGAAGAACCTTTTCTAGACATTAAGCAATTGGTGCTGACTACCCCCTGGGTTGGGGATGAGAGGGGCTTCCTTGGGATGGCTTTTCATCCTCAATACAAAGAAAATGGGAAATTCTACATCTATTACTCCTACCAGGACAAGAAAAAGGTAGAAAAAATCAGGATTAGTGAACTGATGGTCTCCACAGCTGATGTCAACAAGGCGGATATAACCACAGAAAGGCAATAATTCCTTTTCTCTACTTGCTTTTTTCCAAGGCTGGGGACATATTTGCTCATTTCATTTACATAAAACCTTATATGATAGGATCGACCAAAATAGAATACTAAGATTATGGATAACCCATTTCAAAAATAAATAAATCAAATTAAGAACCACTTATACAAATCCTACAAATGCATGTAATCTATTTTTTTTGCTGCTAAGCAAGAGAAGTAACATTGTGGTGTTAAGCCAAGAACACATTGATCTATGATACACATCAATCTTTAGCCTACACCATTTTAGAGTGGTGGTCTTTAACTCTTTTGTGACTCTGAAGCTAACTAAAATTCTGATCTATAAACAGGCTTTTCTGTTGTTTTCACTGAGATATGACATGCCTGATATTTTAGGGTCCTGATTTAGAAGTCAACCAATGTCCAGTTCAGAACTAGGATTATTCATGAAGGTACAGAGGAGTCCTAAAAAAAGCTTCATGAGATCATGTTCTTTTTAATCCTGCAACCATGCCTGAATATTCCCATTTCAAAAGACAGGGACCATCATGAGTCCATTCTGAGATGATAATGGCCTATGCAGAAGACCATTCAGAGCTTCAGTCATACTCCAGAATTGTGCTGACTAGCAGTTTTGATACAAAATCATAGAAGAGCAATTATACTTTGCTAAAAAATTGGTGGTTCTATCCTACCATCATGGAAGCATAGGTGCTGAAGGACATTGTGTCCTGACCCAGGTTTTATCATGTGCCTCTGATCAGCTTCAGCAGAAACACAGAAATAGCAAAAGAATGCTAATGTCCTTTCTTTGCTTAGTGTAAGAAAGGTTAAACAAAAGCACTTAGCAGCTTTTATGATTAATGCTTGAATAAATAATCTGTTTGCAGGAAATCCTTGAAAGCCATCCAAGGCATCCAACTTTATCTATGTGTGTTTCTTCTTCTTCTTCCCCTTGCATATTGTTTCTCTTTTCTTCTTTAGGAATCTCTTAGAGATTGAACAACCAGCTGCGAACCATAATGGTGGAGAGATCCTGTTTGGGATAGACGGTTACTTGTATCTGTTTACTGGAGATGGAGGGAAAGCTGGGGACCCTTTTGGTAAATTCGGAAATGCTCAAAACAAGTAAATATATCCACCTTTCATTGCATTTAAATGTGAATTGTTATATGGAAAGTTTGTTATTGTAACTATTGCAAATTAATTTTTATTATACTTCAATTTTTATATTTGAGAGCTAGTTTGAAGTAGTGGTTAAGCCATCAGGTTAAAAACTGGAAGACTCTGAATTCTAGTTCCGCCTTAGGCACAAAGCCAACCTTGGGCCAGTCATTTTGTCTCAGCCCTAAGGAAGGAGGCAATAACAAAACACCTCTGTAAAACCTTGCCAAGAAAACTGTAGGGACTTGTCCAGGCAGTCTCAAAAAATCAGATATGATTGAACCAAAGGGGAAAAATCTTTTTATCATTTTTAAAAACTCTTTAATAAGACTATTTTAAATATTATTGATAAAATGTCAGGTGTGCACCTTTCAAATAATGCTGCAATTTCTTAATATAAACTATTAAATAAAGTTACTAATAGGCATATGCCAGTAGTCCCTTATAACAATGGAAAATATCAGAACATATATTCAATGCATGGTAAACAAACAGACAAACAAACCAATTAGATTTCTTAATATACCGCTCACATTTGAGTATGTTGCTGTAAATATTAATATTCTGTATGTGGAGATCAAGCCTTGGCTTAAAATTTCATTCAGGAGATTAGTTGCATGATGAAATAAAAAATAAACCAAGATTTCCTCTGCTTCCCAAAGCAGGCTAAATATCTATTGAGTCTACTTCACAACTACTAAATTATTTGCTGAGTAGTACACTATATTATTTCATCTATAGTAGTTTAAACCAAACCAAACCAATTGTTCATTGTTTACTTATTCTGGACTTAACTTGTTTGTCCATGCTTTGGCCAGTGCCTTCTTATGTCTTGCTTTTTTCTTAGGAGTAGCTTATTAGGGAAAGTTTTACGGATTGATGTGGATGGAAAAGGTCCCCAGGAGAGGCCCTACCGCATTCCCCATGATAATCCTTTTTCCTCGGATCCCAAAGCTCGCCCTGAAGTCTATGCATATGGTGTGAGGAACATGTGGCGCTGCTCTGTGGATCGTGGAGATCCACTCAGTCACAGGGGAAAGGGACGAATTTTCTGTGGAGACGTTGGCCAGAACAGGTTTGAAGAAGTGGATATAATTATTAAAGGCGGGAACTATGGTTGGAGAGCCAAGGAAGGGTTTGAGTGCTATGATACGAAACTGTGTCAAAATTCCTCACTAGGTAAGTATTATAACATCTCAGGGCTGCTAACAAAACGAATGCCAATGTGTAGGTATCTTATAGAAAGAAGCTTACTACTTTCGTGAAAACAATAAAAGTAGTGTTATGGCATGGAAACCCCTTTCGTGCATACATGTAATATCACAGTACACATACAAAAGGGATGTGTGAAGCTTCTTTATTTTACACCCCTCTCCCCTTGCCTACTTCTTACATGCTGCTGCACCTACATCCTTAGAAGTAAGTGAAGGCCCCACAACAAGGGGCAACTTATTGCTGAAAACCATCCAAGGAATTAACTAATCAAAAATAGACATACATAACTCCACCCCAGCAGTCATGGAACCACCCATATTTAACCAACTGAGCCATTTTGCATACTTAAGAAAGATTGCTGGTGAGAAACTGTTGCAGAAAAGGCTAACCAGGGGTGGGATTCTATAGGTTCGCACCTATTCGCTAGAACCGGTTGTTAACATTCTAAGCAGTTCGGAGAACCAGTTGTTAGAAGAAATTACTTGCCTAATTCTGTAAGGAAGGCAGGAAGGAAACATTTTGGTGCTGCTTACAGAAACTGCCTCTCCGTTAACCCTTATTACATTCTTGGCAGGACTAGACTTCCTGTCTCAGGAACGTCTCTGGAGTTTTTTTTTTCCTTCTTTGCTGGTACTTTGCTTGTGTGGAATGACCATTCAAAGTTACAATGGCACTGAAAAAAGTGACTTATGACCGTTTTTGACACTTATGACTGTTGCAGAATCCCCACAGTCATGAGAGGCCAGGCGAGGAGATGTGTGCCTCGATGTGAATGATATTGAGTTGGCCACGCCCAGCCAATAACATGACCACCAAGCCATGCCCACCAACTAAGCCACACCCACAGAAACGGTTGTTAAAAAAATTGAATCTCACCCCTGAGGCTAACCCCCACCAATGCATGGCCCTATTTTTGTCTGCCTGCTCCATACAACAAGTAATGATATGACAAAGCCTTGATAGTACTCTCTTGTCACAAAGACTCATAGGATATGAGATACAGCACTAAAATATTACAAAGTGGGTGGGATTATGTGTTCTCCAAATCATGTTTTTTTCTTAAACTAGCTAAGCATGTTTGTGTGCTGCTAAAAACTGGCATGGAGCATAGAGTGGGAACAGGCCAGGATCTGTCAAATCACAAGTCTACATTAAGCTATTTATTTAGGAGATGCAGGCATCCTCAGGATCTGGCTGTTTTTCTCAAAATGGCAAAATGTATTGTGGAGTTGTGCCACAAATTCCACCTCTCTATCAAAAGGTGGATCATGCAGCTTGTAACCTTATGTTAATTTGGGGATTTGGCCTTCCCTGGATTTTCTCTGCAAACACTGCAACTAAAACCTTTCCTGAGTTTCTAAATGTGTGTTACTTCTATATATGTCAGTCAAGTAGAAACCCTTGCCTTTTTGTTTATTTTTGAAAACAAACAAACAAATTATCTTTAAATAGATACTTGTGCAGGCCTCTTATAAGACTGTTTACATAATAGATCGCAGTCATCATTGGGTTAAATGACAAGTACATCAGTACTTAATCAAGAATAATATCATGCAAATAAATTTTCTCTGGATAACACACAGTAGAAAACCATAACTGTGTGTGTGCTTATTGCTCATAGATTAAGGAAGCAGTTTTCACAGAAATGGCGCCCTATACTACTATTAACTGAATGCCCTAAAAGGGCACTGGCCTGTTTCTGAGATACTATTCCCCTAATAAACTTCTCTTAACTTGGGTTTGTTTTGTATAGCTATAAATCTTGAGGGTCCTTCTCCTCTGCTGGTTTGACTATTTAAGGATTGACACACTGAAAATGTAGATTCTTATTAGTAGATAATAATCAGAAGTTAACACTGGCATTGCTCTTGATCAGGAGATTTTTGTTTCTTTTTAGATAATGCAACAACTTCAGTTGATGAGTAACTTCTATTTCATTTTTACAGAGGATGTACTTCCAATATTTGCTTATGGACGTTCTGTAGGAAAATCAGTCACTGGTGGATATGTTTATCGAGGGTGTGAATCTCCAAACCTCAATGGTCTTTACATTTTTGGTGACTTTATGAATGGGTAAGGAAGAGAGTTATTTCATTTCACTTTTAAATACACTGAAGTGTGTAATATAAGGAGAAGGACAAAGTATATTGATACAAATAAACTTTGTGATCAGATAAAATTCTGTTTATCTTGCCTGGATATGCGAAACATTTGTTTCTTTTTGATGTTCTCAGTGTTGCTCACTATGATTATTTATTTATTAAATGTATACACCACCCATCTCACTGTTGAGGTGAGATAATTATGCTTATTCAATTCTGCAATTCCCCCAAATTTAAGAGTTTCTTTATCAGCTTTTACTTCAAGCTACAGCTGGCCATTACAGACAGTCTGAACAGATGGCTGTCCAAGCTACAGGTCTTTAGCACATTCAGCCCAAATATGTATCTGGGATTATATATTTGAAGATAGTGTGACCACATTAGGTTAAGGCCAGTTTTTAGCAAAACATCAAAGTACATGAAGTGACCATGGTAGAGAAATTCAACACCATCTTTCTAAAGCAGTGGTCACCAACTGGTGGTCTGTGAGAAAATTTTGGTGATCCGCAGAAAAATTATTTGCATTTTTTATATTGTACTAAATCAGAGGTCCTCAAACTACGGTCCCTGAGCCGGATATGTGCAATGAATCTTTGTGTTGCTGCAGAAAATCTCCCCCTTCAGGGTCTTTTTGTGCCTGTCGGAGGAGGGGCAGAAATTCTGACTTGGGGTCTGCTTCAGCCTCCTGGTGCTTTGGGCGAAGAGCCAGAGAGCCTTATTCCAGTGGGACTGCATCATGGCCTGGAACTGGCTGACCATCTCAGCCTGCTGAACTTCCGGGTGATGGTACCTGGCCTTGCACTCATGCAGGTCTTCCCTCTGCTTGGAAAGCCTATGCTTGTAGTCCTCAGTGAGGTGCTTCTGATGAGCCTCCTTCTTGATCAGATCCAATTTGAACTAAGCCAGCTCTTTCTCATGGTAGCTGCTTAGCTCCTAAAACTGCTTTCTGTTGGGGCCCTAAGGAGCCTGGACAGGCAGGCGAGGAGTGGTTGGAAGGGGAGGGGAGAGTAGAGGCCAGCAAGGCACCCCTTGATATGAGCGACATCAAGTTGGCCATGCCCACCCAGTCACATTACCACCTAGCCACATTAGGTCATTAGGCAGATCATATTAGTGGTCTGTGGGATTTAAAATTATGAATTTAGTGGTCCCTGAAGTCCAAAAGGTTGGTGACCCATTCTAAAAGTCTTGTTCCTGTTTTAATTGCTGTCACTGTGTACACAAAGTTTTATCACCTAGGTTTTGATAATTCTCACCATAAAGTGTTATCACCTATTTTTTGCAGTTCTCATCAGGCATTGCTATGTCTCAGTTGCAAATATTCAAGTAATCATTCCTTCAAGACAATCATTTCAAAATGAGTGTCCTTCCCATGGGTACAACATCATGAATCTACATCTAAAAACTACTCATAGAACCAGTTCTTATTTAAATGGGATAGAGCGATAAATGGCTATTGCCCATCACATCTAATGCCCATTACATCTAATTAATAAGCTCAGTAGCCAAGGATGATGAGAATATATTCTCTAACTGTATCTGAAGGGTCACAAACTTCCTATTTCTGTGTAATAGAGAAATAAAGGAAGTGACTTATACTGAGTCACCATATTGATTTTTGTAGTTCAGTTTTGTTATACTGAAGTACTAGTCTAAGCTTTCAAGTGAAAGTTTTGAAGACCTTTTTTTAGAGAGGCTGGGGGTTGAACCTAGGACATTTTGCATGGAAACAGATGCTCCAACATGGACCTATGTCCTTTTCTTAGCGAATGAAGTAGGCTCAGGTCACCAAGGTTTAAGTTCATTTTTGCATAAATTAACTGTGTGTACCACCATTATTTTTTAAAACTTCAAACTATTGTGGAATTGCAAAATAAAAATAAGATTTAATTTTGTTTCCCCATTTAGTCGACTTATGGCTTTGCAGGAAGATGAGAGAACAAATACATGGAAGAAACAAGATGTCTGCATTGGTAGCATAAAAGCCTGTGCTTTTCCAGGGCTCGTGAGTTCATACAGCAAATTTATCATCTCTTTTGCAGAGGATGAAGCAGGTAACCTGTTTCTTAAATCTTATTTCCCACATCTTGAAAATGGGGTGTTTGGAAGATCTAATTCAAAGAAGTATATGATTAGTACAGGGATACCTAAGTCACTGCCTTGCCAAAATTGAATCTGCCATCTGGTCTGAAATGACCTGCTCGGAATCCTACCCTCCATGACAGGTTTATGGGTAGAAGTGAGAGGATTGGGGTTTTTTTTAATAATCATCTCCACATCTGGAGCAAGCTTCCCCAGAGAGATTTCACAAAACAGTATTATTCTACTAAATGATTGACTTGAATTTATTGGGCATACATGCATCTTTTTATTTAATTTTGGTTGATCATATTTCTGTTTTATTCTTGCTTCGTTTACTGCCAAAATGTTTTAATTGTTTGGGGCAGTCTACACATATTGTGTACACTTGCATATATGTGTAATTAACTAATTAAACTTGTATGCCTTTGTGCTGTCTTTCCAAAGATGCCTTTGGTCACAGACAACATTTCTGAATAAGTAGGCATGCTCGAAAGATTTAGAGCTTACTGTGGATGCTTTTACAAAAGGGCTATTATGTGAATATTTGCAAAATTTCTACCATGGCCAATCCCCAAAAACCATTTATCAGAAAGCAACTTGTTAGGCTGCTCCTGCCAAGTCTGTGGGATTCACAGAGATATCTTAAAGATGCTAATTTTCCTATGTTTTGTTTCCCATCAAATAGACATAGTCCCAAAGTCCTGCCATCTACTTTACTTCCTAAGAATGCTCGTGGGCTAATGTGAAGCATGCAGATCAACCTAGAACCAAAAATTATGCTTGAGGCTGACACTGTATGCCATTTTCCCATTAAAATGTGCTTCCAAAGTTAAAAACACCTTTAAAAATTTAAAGTGAGGAGCAGATTCCAAGAGAAATATCTGGTCATTCATGCTGCATAGTTCTATACCAGATAGAGCTTGGGTGTCAAACTGGTGGCCCATGGGCTGGATGCATCACGCACAGCCACCCCAGCTCCACAAAGGGGAAAAACATCATGATATGTCATGTGACAGCAACGTGCCACTATGAATTTGACACCCGTGAGATAGAGCATTGGTCTTGCTTGTATTAGAGGTGGGCAGGCATGGCTGACTAGCAATCAATACAGCCAAATCAACTATATTTGTTATTCTACCAATAGCTTAAAACTTTCCAGCTTTTATATCTGCCAGAAATCGCAAGAGCAAGAGTAGGTAAGAAAGACAGCCTGGATGGTTATAGTACTCAGCTGCCTTCAGCCTGATGGGATCTATAACTCAAGCCATCCAAAGGAGAACTAAGAACTAAATCAGTCTTGTCCAAAGTAGCCCTGTTACTAGTACACATCCTTTCTTTTGTTATTTCCAGGCGAACTTTATTTTATGGCTACATCTTATCCAAGTGCCTATGCTCCAAGTGGCTCAATTTACAAATTTGTGGATCCAGCAAGGTTAGTGCCTCTTCCAAGTTCTGAAAGTTTTTTTCTTGAGCTACTTTAAAAGAAAAGAGAAGCAAGACACCTGCAATTGCATAGACACCCTCATGAATCAATCTGACTTCAGTTTCATGAATGACATCTGTGGATGGATTTACATTATAGAGAAGTTACTTCTTCTTAATGCAGGAGTGCACAACTTTTATTTGTATTTTTTCCCTCTGCAGCTGGGAAAGCTTTTTCTCCCCTCAGGGATTAGGGAAAGGAAGTGTTTAAAGCCATATTTCTTAGCCTTCACCATTTAAAGATGTGTGGACTTCAGATGGCTAGGGAAATTCTGGGAGTTGGGGTCCACATATCTTAAAATGGCAAAGGTAGAGAAACTCTGGATTAGAGAGCACAGTCTGTATTAGTCCCGTATTGAAGCTGCTTCCCAGTAAAACAAAACCTGTCAGAAAAAGCTGTCCCAGAACTAAAAATGTGGAAAAAGATGAAACACATTTAGTTATAAACTCTAATTTATGCCCTAACAACCTGAAAGATTGTTTAATGATATCAAAAACAGCTTTTTTACAAATAATTTGAATTTAGCACCACGACGAAAGCTTTATTTTCTCTGCTCAGAAGTCATATGAACACCAGTTCTATGTGTGAAGGTACTGAATGTGATGAAATATTTTAAAAAGCACCCTTTTAAAAAAAGCACCCCTATTTAAAAATTATTGGTCACATCAATATATGTTCAGTGTTCTGCTTTTTCATCATGCTGGTCCATTCATCATTTTAACCTTAAAGCAAAGAAATTATATTAGAGTGACATATAAGCCCATTCCACATGCTTGCTGTTAATTGTCTCTAAGAAGCCATTAATTTATTGAATCTGCATCTCTCCTCCCACCAATCCAGAGGAGTGTTTATATTACCACCAACATGGGAATAAAAACAGCAACAATAATGGTTCAAGTAATCAGTGTTTTAAAAGAGGCAAGGGGATAAGCCTGGGCCCGTCCTCCAAAATCTGTTTCATTCACCTCTCTGTGCATCACTGGAAGCTATCATGTTCTTTCTGTTCTTTCTGTTCTGTCTTGTTCTTATTTAGAGGATAGTTTTATCCTAGCCAATGCCCTCCAGATGTGTTGGACTCTAATTCTCACTTGAAGCATGTAGTCGTCCAACATATCTAACCAAGTGCCAGTTTAGGGAAGGCTCTGTGGTAAGCAAAACTCAAGGAAAGTTGGCCTGTAGGAGGCTCTGCGGGACTGACAGCATGGAAAGCAGACAAAAATATATCTTTCCATTCCATCTAAATTAGGTGTATTTATTTTAAAATGGAGGATTACCATAGAGTTTGTCTGCAATTGAGGAACGAGTCTAAGACAAACATGAAAACTCAATTGATAGACTTGAAGTGAAAGCACTGAATATTGTATGCAAGAGCAAGCCACACTAAGAAAAACAGCAGCAGCAGCAGCAAAAAAAGGAGAAAAAAAATCTGCTTCTCTTTTTATGAAAGGATAGAAAAACCAAATGTAGGAAATGTAATTTATACTTTAAAAAGGGAAGTATTTACATTGGAAATTTCAGGATTTGTATTTGAGCTATTGATTTCAAATGATTACATGTAGTACTTATTTAATGAACATTTGCAGTTACAATGGTAACTTTACAACCAATCCTCACATTTACAGCCTTTGTGGATAAAGAAAAAGCTGAAGTAAAATAATAAACACAGTCATGATTTCACTTAGTCACTGCTTTGCATAATGAGCTGAGCTGTTGGCAACAATTGTGGTCACTAAAACAGACTACCTGTACATACAAAGCAAAATTGGCATGCTGAGCCTATAGTTTGCAGCTGTTGGTTTTGCTTTTAAAGATGCCATAGCTTTGAGCTGTTGGAATAAGAACTGTATGTATGCAGACATGTATGTGAAATCCTTTTGACTAAAACATTTGAAAGGAGAAGGGATCAACATAGTTCATTCTATGCAATTGGCATCTGTTACAGATATCGATACATTTAATAGATAGCAAATATATTCTCTTGTTTTCTCAGTAAAGTTAGGACATAAAATGGTAACAGGTATGGGCTACTATAATGTCAAGGAGGCCAAATATAGAATTCAAACATGGGTGAGAAAGATGTAACCCTTCAGAAGTTGGTTTATCCCTTTCCTCATCCCAGGGAGGCCTCAAGGACTGCTTTCCTTTAAGACATGTGGACGACCATGATTGTCAAAAAGTATTATGCAGTGTTCCTATGGGAACCAACTCTTGGGTGATGAGATGTCATATGACAGCTCTTTTCTAGCCACTTCTGGGGGCACTCCCCCCCCCCCCAAATAAGCAAATATCAAGAGAGGTTTATTTACTCAGGAACTCTTTCAGTCATGTTAATACGGTATACCAGCCACAGGTCTACCTTCCCTTTTTTCATATAACTATTTTTTTCCGACAAAATGTTCTTAGTAATCCTCCAATTTTCAAACTCTTAATACATTTTGTGCTAGCTAGACTGATAAAGTTACTGTTGTAGTACGGTTTGTCTTCCTTCTGGCCAACATATTGGCCTGTGTTTAAAGTCAGTTAATTAGCAGAGCATGGAAAATACACAAACGCAACTATGATCTCATTGGCAGGTTATGTAAATTAGGAATAATGCCCATTTTAATTAGAAAATATATTAACAACTTCCTTAATTAAAACCATTATTCTGTCAAGGAAAACATTCAAAACAGGGCATCTAAAAAAGAGTCAAAATGGCAATTGCACTATTGAAGCCAACCTTTTCAAGATATGTCCTGGCTTTTTTTGATACTGTTCTTTAGTGCCCTTATTCAAAAGGAATAATTATAATTTTAATAGCAAAAAGTCCAAAACGTTGGTTTTTTGCATTTAAATAGAATTCATTGAGTACACTTATTACCTTCATTGTATTTAATGATTTTCCTGTTTGGAAAAAGCCAAAAGGTCCGCAACCCTCAGACTGCACACCTTTGAATTACTCAAAAATTCCTTCATCCCCTAGGGTAAAAAACAAACTCCTTGTTTATATTGAGATGTCCAGATGTATTTTTATGTGATCCAATTTGTGTTTTAGGAGAGCTCCACCAGGAAAATGTAAACAGAAGCCAGTTCCAGTGAAAACAAAGAGCAAGCGGATCCCATTTGTTCCAACTGCAAGTAAGTCAATAAGATTTGGGTTTGCTGCTGTTTGTTTATTTTCACTATGTAATAGTACAAATATTCAGACATACTGAAAGGAAAGATTTGTTCAGCTTTCAACACTTTCTTCCAGGTCCCAAGAAGTCAGTTCTTCAGCAAGAAATTGTACATTGTTTCTGTTCTATTCCCACTTCTTACACATAATCCATTGTCCAGATAATATGGTTGATCAATGATTTCTGTGCTCATTTACTGATAACATGATAGCATGATTTGGCAGTGCTTCTTAATTTGTGGTAGAAATACCACTGGAAGTAAGGAAAAATAGTTCAGGGTAGATGCAGCTTTTCTTCCCAAATGGGAAAAGAACTCTGGAAAGGACAGAGGAGAGCCAAGCTAATGGGCAACGTTACTGGTCTCTAATCAAATCCATCGAAGCAAAGGCATCTTAGCAAGTAATTCCTGGAAACCAGGACTGGGGTAATGTCTGGAACGATTGGGTTTGAGAATCTAAATAATTAAATACATTTCCCCCAACTCTAAAGAGAAATTTTATGACAGTGAAAACAATTCATCAGTGGGATGGCTTTCCTCCAGAAGCTGTTGGTGCTCCAACACTGAAGTTTTAAGAAGAGATTGCACAGCCATTTGTCTGGAATGGTATAAGGTCTCCTGATCAAGCAAGGAGTTGGACTTAGAAGTCCTCCAAGGTCTCTGCCTACCCTGGTATTCTGTGTTACTCTTTCCTTAGGTTTTGTTCATTATTTAGTTGTAGGTTTTGATTTTGATACAACTGCTCTCAGAGTGACAAATACTTTCTATCCCAGGGGTCTCCAACCTTGGGCCCTTGAAGCCTGGCGGACTTTGACTCCCAGAATTCCCCAGCCAGCTTTGCTGGCTGGGGAATTCTGGGAGTCAAAGTCCACCAGGCTTCAAGGGCTCAAGGTTGGAGATCGCTGTTCTATCCCATTAGCTCTCATTTAAATATATATATATATATATATGTAGTGATAACATCGTCAATAGTGGTACTGCATTTTAATGTTCTTAAGTCTTACCTTAACTGATAAATATAATAAAGAACTACCTCTAAACATCCTTCCTTCCTTCCTTCCGAAAGTAGCATCCAGGTTCTTTGATAGTGTGATTAATATATATACAAGGTATACAGAATTAAAAAGATTGGAATAGAAAATCAGCAGTGAGTAACTTTGGGTGATTTAATATTGTTGGGAGGAGGAAAGGCTATCTGGTGATGCAAATATCTGTGGTCACATCACATGTTGGTATGGTTGGTATGTCTCCTTTCCTTTCTAAACTTTTGTTTTAACTATATAAAACCTATGTTGGAGCTTACACTACAGTCTTCTTGGGAAACATGCTGTTGATTTCAAGCAACTATATTGCTGAATTTGGGGTCAAAATAATGATTTTAGGGGTCGCAGGAAATCATGGCTTTGTCTACATTAAATGCTTGATTTAGACAATACTATCTGCTGATTCCCTCACTTTTGTACTTTTACCCCCAAATAGCTATAGATATGGGCATAGCATTTAAAATATGTTCATATTTTTTTCTTAAATTTGCTACCCAGATCAACCTTTCAAATGTAATGCCCATGATTGAATGAAAATGTGATCTTGCCTTCCACTAGTTTTTCAAGTAAGGGAAAAATGTGGGAAGAGACCATTGCTTGCTCTAAGGCAGCATTTGTAGAGTAGTCAATCTACTAACGCAAATCATGACTTTTAAACCATGTTTTCTCAGAAACTGTGCCTGAACTGATCAAAGAGCGTCTTACAACCCAGTCTTCCAAAACACTTGTCCGTTCTAAAGAATATCCCCCTACTTCTGGCCAGAAACGAAAGAAGCCTGCATCCCACAGAAACTCACAGAAGCATGGATCAACAGATCCTGCACATTCTGGTAAAAAGGTGCCAACAGCGCAGCGTCCCAAAGGCCGGGGTTCCCAAGCCAAATCTGGTGGGCAAACACAAAAGGAGAAAGCACCAGTCATCCCTGGAGCAAGAACTCAGTCACCCCAGAAGAGAAGATCACAATTACCTGGAGCACTGAAAAAACTTTCACCGTCTCCAAAGCTGAAGTCAGCAGTTAAGAAGAAAACACCGAAGAAGGGAAGGAAGAAGAAAGAAAGGGTCAGTGCAAGAAGTTCTGTTTGAACATCCACAATGCTGCCCAGAATAAAGAGAAGGGAATCTGGAGGGGATTGCCTAGTGACTCATTTTATGTCCAAGAAAGTGAATCAGAATGGCATATAGATTTTACATTAAAAAAAAAATTAACTTGAATCTATGCAGCTTTTCAGCTGCTGTCCACACCAGATATGGTACATTCATTTAAATGTTTAATTGTTTAAATGTTTACA